AGCCTCTAGGGGCGGCTTTCTGAGTTCGGTTTAGGAACCAAGAAAGCCGGTTTGGCCCCAAAAGCTTAGTTCGGTTGAAAACCGAGGTTCCTAGTTTGGTATATTCAGACTTCGTTCGGTGATCTTATTTCGGCTAAAGTGAGTCAGGCGTTGGTGACTGTTTGAGACTTTCAAGTTCTAAGTTCGGTTATTAACTACGGTGATCTACCGATATTGGACAAACAGGATCCTAGTTCGGTTGCTATGTGATTTTGGATCTAAGACTGGTTTTTCTACATAATAGTTCATATACACATGAAGTTCTACTGGTTTTTTCATAAAAATACGGAAGCAAAAGCAGCAAATGGAAGAAAGTATTGGAAAAAAACATACAAAACAAGATATACAGTTGCACAAAACGAATGTAAAAGCAAAAACATGAAGGGAAAGTGGATTTGCTTACCAGAATTGAATAAGGAGGGACTGAAGATGAAGACTGTCACAGTAAAGAAAGAGCACGAACAGCAAGAACACAGAGAGAGAAGATGAAGAAATGACAAAGGTGAAGGGACCTAGCCTCAGGGCGTGTTTTTGTTAGAAAGCCCAAAATTTGGGCGGGACTGTTCAAAATTCACGAAGTACGAAAGACGGCGTGACAGCCGTCCTCAGCCTATCAGAATCTGCCATGTGTCATTGGAATGAGAAGCGTTACAGTCGCTGTGATTGAAGAGACGTTTTGACCGAACAGAGTGAAACCCGACGTAAAATTAGCTCGGCTGGAGAAGCTAAAGGGTTTTTAGCTCGGCTGGAAAGGCTTAATAAACTTCAGCTCGGTTGGTAGACTGGTAATCCCAATCACGCTGTGCAGATGGAATTAAGGGGCAATTGAGAGGGTAATTTTTGGGAAAGAATTGGGCCGAGCTGTGAGTTGGGCCATGCGGCCCAAAGTGTGAAAGAATCGGTAAGAAGCCGTAGTGTTATATCGGCCCCAGTAGAGGTATAGATACTCCGGCCCAGGAGAGGTGTGGTTACTCCGGTTAAAGAGTGTGTATAGCAACTCCGGTCCGGTGGCAGTTCGAAGAGAGTCCGGCCTTGCGTTTGGTCCGGTCGTGACATATTATGGTTAGGTAGAGCTTGCTACTCAGAAGCTTGGTCTAAACGCATCATGGTTGAACGGGGGAAAGCCGAGATAAGGAGTTGGAGGAGAAAACCGAGCTAAGGATAGTTCGGTCTTCTCCGTGGCTTAGCATAGCCAGTGTGACTTCGGTCAAAAGGTAGTTCGGCCAAAGGGAAAACCATCCCACTTGGTTTAAGCAGTGGAGGAGGATGTAAAAGGATAAGCATTATCCTTAGGAGTATGAATCTTAGGAGGACTCTGCGTGGAGGAATCCAAGTCCTACCAGGATTGTGCCACGGGAAACTTATAAAAGCTCACAAACATCACCTTGGAGGAGGTAATTGAACATAATTCTTTCTGAGAACATAGAGCTTTGTCTATTTGTCAAGCTTACTGACTTAGGCATCGGAGAGGTTTCCGGCACACACCCGTCGGCTAGCTCACGTTTGTGTTTTCAGGTGACAAAGCGACGTCGTACGGAGGAGCGTGGACTTGGTCAACAGGATTATACGAGGAGAATTATTTCCTCCCCATACAGGTATAGTTTCTACATACAGTTAAACATTGGGATTTAACTCAGCGGTCTAGTAGCCACACCTTTGGGGTGTTTGGTACATTTGGCTAAAATAACCAATGAAGACAATATGTTAAAATAGTCAATAGGACAAAATGTTACGTGTAACTCATAATCATCACTTTTTTTTTCCTCACAACCATCAAATCAATTATAAAAATCAAAAAAATCAACTATCATCTCAAACATAACTTTTTTAGCCCTCGTTTGGGATGTGGGTTGGCTTTTTGGCTTTTTGGCTATTTTAGCATGGGCTAAAAAGTCTCGTTTGAGATAAATTTTTTGACTTTTTTGACTTTTGTGAGAGAAAAAATGAAATGATTATGATTTAAATGTGATATTTTGTCTTATTGACTAACCTATTTTGTCATTTTGTGGTTAAAATAGCCCCAAAACCATGTGCCAAACATAGTCAAGCTAAAATAGCTAATTAAAATAGCCTATTCCTAAACGGAAGAAATTTTTGTATGCTAATAAAGTACCATATGTCACTACATTTCATTAATCACAAATATATATGCCTCATTTTGTTCCCTAAATATCCAATATAAATGGTAGAAAGTACCACATGGCATATACCTATCTACATACTAAAATTACTCTCCAAACGAGCCTCTTAAGATGTGGTGAAGGGAAGATCATAGGGATGGTTATGGAGCGGGTTTGTCATTCCCCGTTCTTGTTCCCGCTCCCGCGAACAAACCCCACCCCAACTCTAGCCCCACCCTCGCTATGGGTGGAAATTTTCAACCTTATTTCCCTCCCCCCCTCCACATATACCTACGGATATCCGATTACATTTCAAATAGCCAAAAAAAATTAAGAATCATTTAAATCTTTAGCACACTAAATAATTTTCCTTATTGCCATATATATAAATAGTGAGACTTTTAGGATTATTATTTATTTATATTTAAATAGAATTACAGACTTTTAATATTCTTTTCTTATATTTAATTATATTATATATGAATAATGCTTGGGACCCCCTTTTGGGGGTCACCCCCTCACCCCCTTTTGCCACGTGGCGGGTGGTGATTGGAGGAGCAGGAAAAAAAATAAAAAGAATAAGAAAATGTAACCAATGAGAGAGAGAGGGGGTCAAAGGGGGTGGGAGAAAAGGGGGGATGAATCATTGTTGTTTATACATATATATTATTAATTATATCGGGTTGGGTTTGGATTGGGAAAGACAATACCTGTCGTCCCACCCCCGTTGAGGGTGACTAAAACATAATCCACCCCGGCTCCACATAAGTGTCGGCGCAGGTAAAATCTGCCCCATTCGGGCGAGTATGGACAGACCCTCATGGATCGGATTAAAATGGCCATCCATAGGAGATCAAGGGTTCGAATTGATAGAGTAGCAGCGAATACTTTCAATTGTAATCTATCTATACTAAAATATTGATGATATCTATGTAAAAAAAAACAAAAAAAACAAAAAAGCTTCTACTTACAGTTTATTAGGTAAAAATAGCTAACAAATTAAAAAAAAATATTTATTTAAAAATTGAAAAAGGAATATTTTTGGTATCTTCTTTCTCATTACCAACTTACAATAAGTTACACAAGCCCAATGTATTTTCCAATCAAATTCCAATAGGCAACTCCCAATAACACGAGTAATTATCCTATCTTCTAGAAATTTCACGTTGGCTATGTGCCCAATCAATAAATAAATACATAGCCCTAATAATAGCTTTCAGATCATCTAAAGTGATTTGATGGAGTGATTGATGTGAGCGCGACACCTGTCCTGCTAAAGAGAGGAAGTGCTAAGATCATTTCCCACCAAAACGATGTCGTTTTAGTGTGGGAAAACAAAAAAGGTAAATAAAAAAAAAAAAAAATTGTTCATGTCAGTCAACAAATGAGATTGTGAGATAGAGAGAAAGAAAGAAGAAGAAGAAGGAAAGAGAGATGAAGGATTGAGCAAGAAGTTTGCCACCGATGACAAAGTGCTCTCGCATTTCGATAAAGCCACTAACATCATTGTTTTCGATCCCTCTGACTTTGACGACAATGGTGTTTCCGCCATCTACTTCTTCGGGTGGTGACTCACTTTTTTGCTCGCAGCCATTTTCAAGATCTGCGGCAATCGATTGCAATCTAACAATTGAGTCATTAATTCCTTACTAGCCGAATGCAAAACTAAGGATCCGAAGAAATGTGAGAAAAATAGAGGGACATTGGGAACAAAGTAGATGAAGGACATGATGCAATCGATTATGTCCAACCAATCAATTGTGATTTTATTTTTTATTTTTGTTTTCTATTATTAAAATCACGTTATTTTGGTAGAAAGGAATCTCAATCCCTTCTTCTTTTAGTGGGATAAATATCGCGCCCACAACAATCACTCCACTGTATTATTTCATCAAATCACATTAAAAGATCCAAACACCTAATACAAAAAAAAAAAAAAAATAACGAACAAACTATAACATTTAATTGGTCAATCACATAAACAAGTGATATTCCCAATCTATTAAATAATTTATGCCAAACACTATCCCACCGTCCCACTTCCTCACCATAAACAACCAAATCAGCAACCAGTTCAGCCTGTAAACGGTAGCCATAAAATTACGAAAATTGCTATCACTTCTAAATAAATTATCAATTTTTTTATCAAATCGATTATATATATATACATATATGTGTGTGTGATGTGAGTAGATTTCACACTTAAGTAAAATGTTTGGTAAAAAAATTAATAATTTATTGAGAAACGCCATGATAACCCTAAAATCACAGCAAATTACAAGACAAGCCCCTGAAAATATTGCAATCTACACGCCACAGAATTAGGGCCCCAAACATTTTTCAACATTTAATTGGTCAATCACATAAACAAGTGATATTCCCAATCTATTAAATAATTTATGACAAACACTATCCCACCGTCCCACTTCCTCACCATAAACAACCAAATCAGCAATCAGTCCAGCCTGTAAACGGTAGCCATAAAATTACGAAAATTGCTACCACTTCTAAATAAATTATCAAATTTTTTATCAAATCGATTATATACATATATGTGTGTGTGATGTGAGTAGATTTCACACTTAAGTAAAATGTTTGGTAAAAAAATTAATAATTTATTGAGAAACGCCATGATAACCCTAAAATCACAGCAAATTACAAGACAAGCCCCTGAAAATATTGCAATCTACACACAGAACCCAAAAACATACACTATAGAGAGAGAGAGAGAGAGAGAGAGACAAAAAGGAGAGTTTCAATCGATACCATATCACAAAGCATTTTCTCTCTCTAGGGTTTGTTCTCTATTTATTACACACACATATATATATCATATGTAACGCTTTTCTCTCTGTAAAAGAAGTACGAACGTTCGGGTGATGTGGTTGTTGAATCAATCGAGAGATTGCGAACCTCTGTGTTCGTAGATCAATCGATCGATCTGGTTTTGTTTTTGAATTTATAATTATCTGTTTGGATCGGAGGTAGATTAGTCGTTGAGGATCATGTTCTTGTTCGATTGGTTCTATGGAATTCTCGCATCGCTGGGTCTCTGGCAGAAGGAAGCGAAGATCTTGTTCTTGGGGCTTGATAATGCCGGCAAGACGACTTTGCTTCATATGTTGAAAGACGAGGTTTGTTTTCTTTTAATTCGTCTCTGTCTCTGTATGAATTTTGAGAGATTTATACACGAATGTCGTCGATTAAGGGTGTGTTTGGATTCATATATTTCTAGTTCAGGCTTTGTCCTAGTTTCCCATTTCCTTGACGATTTTATTTACAATGCATTTTTTATTATTTTCTAGTCAACTAAGAATGGATATTTGGATTAAATGATCATGCCATTCCACTCGATTCTAGTTAACAAGCATTACCTGAGGTTTTTTATTTTTTTATTTTTAACTTTAGATTTGAAACATTAGCTAAGGGTTTTAGCTTTTGTGTCTGGTTTTTTTTTTCAGGTTCTGTTTGTTTCTCTGGAAAATTCTTCTGATATATATGTTGGAAAAATGGTTTAATATAAGCATATTTTTTAGCCCAAATTTGAGTGGGCTTCAAACGTCTTTTGGGGTGGGTCCGAAGAGGTAAAGTGTTCCTTACTGCGTGGCAAGTCACACGGTGAAAACGGAACGTCAAAACCATTTATGAGGGAATAGGAAATTGACGTCGTTTTCGGGTACATTAATTTTTTAGATAAAATTCATTTGAATTTTTTCAATAAAAATTATTGTGGGAATTTAATTTAATTTAATTCTAAATTCAAATTTTGGGTTCCTGAGTGGTTTCCTAAAGTTTGTAATTGTGGGAATTTAATTTAATTCTAAATTCAAATTTTGGGCCCCAAGGGGTACCCAAGTTTGTAAAAGGGTAAGGTTAGGGTGTAGTGGGTTGGACCCATTGGACCCAAAATTAAAGCCGCGTGCGCCGCTACCGTCTAGGCGGGCTAGGCGTGGACGCGACGCGTGGTGGAAAGTTGGGTTGGGCTTCTCCGACCCAATACTTATCTTTTTTCTTAAGATTGTTGGAACGATCTTCTGTGTAAATAAAATGATTTAAAATAATTCAAACAAAATAAAATAAAACTTACAGTATTTATTTTATAGAACCGAATAAATAATTCAAAGACCAAGTCGAGTGTGTGACACTCTGTCTTTAAGACAGATTCGCCTCGTTACGGTGTTTACGGTTGAGTGGCGTCTATCTCCCAGGATACAATGATCTTTACCAATTTGTAGTAGCACTCCAAAACGAATTATTCGGCGAACCAAACCTGTGTTCTAACTCTCTGAATATTTATTCTAAAATTAATATGGAGAATAATGTACCAAAGTTGATAATTGGACAGCAAAAGGAATTATACAGATTGATTTTTGATCCTACGAACTGCTGGAAATTTGACTGAATTTATAGACAAAAAAAAAACTAACCCGGATAGGTACCAATTTGAAGTGAAAAGGTGCACATTCAAAGGAACAGGTGCATGCACTATTCACACAGATAACTATTTGAATAGTTGATTTGTTTGTTGGAAAGAACAAATTTTCAAATAATTTGAAAAAAAAATCGTTGGTGGAACAGTTATAAACCTGTTGGAACTTTATTATTTAAACTATTTGGAATATATATATATATTAAACTTTTTGAATATATATATATTAAACTATTTGAATAGTTTAATAAATAAAGGAAGAGGTATAAACTTTACAGATTCGAATTATTCTGTTTACAGAATTTTTCGTTTGTTTCCTTTTCTCTTTCTTCTTTTAAGAAAATTATTTTCTGTGGATTTACAAAATAATATTCTAGTTGGAAAAACAAATAGTGATTATATGCTATTTGACAGATAGTAGTAATGTACTATCTATTTTCTTTGACAACTAGTAGTACGATACTAGTGTCATTAACAATTCAGAATAAAACTTACCATCCTTATTAAGAACCCAAATAACTTTGTCAGCCCTCAACAGGGAAGGTGTCAAATCAGGGGAAGTGGTGGAGATGATCTCTTGTACCTCCTAAGAGGAATCATTGGGCCACTGCCACCCACTATCAGTCACAATAGACCTCACTTTAGAATTGCTATCAAGAGCAGCATCATAAATGAGCCTATCCCCATACTTAGACCACTTTCTTATTTCTTTTATTTTACAGAATTTAATTTCCTGTGTGGAATTAATTTGGTTGAATAAAATTTTATTTTATTTCCAAATTAATTGGAAAATAAAAGTTACATTCTTGTTTCTTTTATTTTTTACAGAATTTGATTCTGTGAATTTGGTTTAATTTTTTGTGTAGTGTAAATTCTAATTATAATTTTGTTTTATAAATTAGAATTGATAGCTACTGAAACTAATGTCCAAATAAGTACTACTATGGTGGTTGCAATGACGCCAACCCCCTCTTCTGTTGTAACAGTACCGGCAAGTCACACGGTGAAGACGGAACGTCAAAACCATTTATGAGTGAATGGGAAGCTGACGTTGTTTTTGGGTCTAACATTAATTTTTTAGATAAAATTCATTTGAATTTTATCAATAAAAATTATTGTGGGAATTTAATATAATTCTAAATTCAAATTTTGGGTTCCTGAGTGGTTTCCTAAAGTTTGTAATTGTGAGAATTTAATTTAATTCTAAATTCAAATTTTAGGTTCCTAAGTGGTTTCTTAAAGTTTGTACCTCTTTCTTTATTTATTAAACTATTCAAATAGTTTAATATGTATATATTCAAATAGTTTAATATATATATATATATATTCTAAATAGTTTAAATAATATGTTAAAACCTACCATCACCTACTCCACCTACTACACCTACCACCACCTACTACACCTACTCCACCCACTTCACCTACTACATCTCCTATATAAAGAGCCCCTCACCATTTGTAATATATAACATACAACAATCAATAATACATCAATTTTTACATGGTATCAGAGCAATAAGATTTAGGCCCGTATTTTGTTTTCTCACCGGCGGGCAGCCGGCGGGCAGCCTTGCCTTCGCTGCCCGCTGGAATTTTCTACACATACCTTCACTTTCCTGCATCTTCCAACTCATCAACAAAATCCCCACCGCCTCTTCTCCTATTTTCACTCTTCTTCTCTCTCATCTTTCTTCTTCTCCAAAATCTCAATCTGCTATTCACTTTCCTGACCTCTCTACACTCTCCTTCGTCTGAAAGTTGAGAGTGCCTCAACTCTAGTGGGTCGTATTGCATGTTCCATGCTCCCACTCACAACATACTTGGTTTTGAGATCAGCATGCATGTTACAAGCCCCAGAACCTTCTCATTACCGCTGCCGGAGTTTTGAAAATCTCCGTTGTTTTGGCCTCTCTGCCTTGCCGGAAAACCAGCTCCACCGCAAGTGCTCCAAACCACCTGCGGAACTCCGGCATACACTTCCCCGGAAGTTCTCCGCTGCCGCGGCTTCGACGGCACAAAGGCCGACGCCTGGTCTTGCGGTGTCATCCTCTTCCTCTTGCAGCAACACTCACACATTGGGAGCTGAAAAACACACAGACACAAGGGGCATCGACCATCTCCTGGGTTAGCTTTTTTTTTGGAGCAGAGGTAGCCACCATCACCTTTTTGTTTTGAAAAGAAGAGATAAAAAAAAAATAATAATAAAATAAAAAATAAAAAATAAAAAAACAAAGTAGTAAAAGAAAAAGTGTTGTGTTGGTTAGTGGGATCACGTGGGTAGCCTTTCTTGGGGCAAGACACCCACTCAATCTCTCCCTCTCTCTGAGTGGGGTTCATGAGCGATTTTTATTTTATTTTATTTTTTTTTTTAGAGAGAAAATGGGTTGAGGAAGAGGAGAGAGCTCTCTTGTTTTTTTTTTTTTTTTGGGTTGATGTTCCTTATGCTGTGTTTGGTTGGGGGATTTGGAGAGGGATTTGGAAAGAGAAAGGGAAAAAGTGTGTGAAACTATGTGAAATATAGGCATAATTTATTCACATTTCACCTACCTTTTCCATTTCCCTTTCCAAATCCCCTCCCAAATCCCCCAACCAAACACAGCATTAATCACACTCATTTAATCTAATAGTCAAACATGATGCCACTGTAGCACGAGTTTGAGTCACTAGAATTCACCTTTCCACAAAATATATGAGAAAATTATATAATGACAATTTGTTTCTCATTGTAAAGAATTGTTAAGTCTAATGGTTCCTTCCTATCAACTCATAATTACCTCTCTTTTTGTTTAGGTAAAAAATGTGTAATAAATAAAAATAAATAAATAAAAATAAAAATAAAATAAAATAAAAAAACCAACACAATTTACCAATTTGCACAACAAATCATATTTTATTCTTCTCAGGGATCAACCCCAATCACAATTTTACACAAAAAAAAAAACAAACAAACAAACAAACCACCACAACACACCCACACTCACAGTGAGATTTTTCTTCTCTACTCTGCTGCAGGTCTCTTCTTCTTGCCTCCGTCCTGGACGGCCCTTGCCGGTGTTGCCTCCGTGTTTCCCACGCCACCGAGCACATTCACTCCCCAATGCTCCTCCACTACAGCATATGGCGGCCCTCCAAATCGGAACATCACGGTGGCCTTTCGCTTCAGCTCTTTATTTTCCGCCTTTAGCACACTTATCTCTGCTCGCGCATCCTTATACATACGCTGGAGCAGAGCCAGTTGGGCGTTTAACTGCTGCACCTCATTTGTCCTACTCTGCAGCCGGTGCGACAAGTTTGTGACCGCAGTCATGGTCTCCACACATGACTTCAATGTATACTGATTGGCCTCAATATCAGTTTGTACCGCCATTTTTTGCTCCACAGATCGCATCGAAAAGTTCAACGGAGCAAAACCAGAGGTGTTTGGTTGAGGTTCACGGGCCACCGCACCAGTTATCTCTCTTGTTGACTCGTTGAGGTCGGGAAAGAGAGTGAGCAGCCCACGGGAAGACGAGGCCATTTTCTGGGCAACAGAGTGTTACAGAGTATCTTTCTCCGAACACGAAGAGTTTTTCAGAAGTTTTTTAGTCGGTTTTTGTCTCAGCCTCTGCCTCAGCCTCCGTCTTGGTTAAATAGCCAAGGCAGACACGCGCATCATGCGCCTCTCGGCGCTCGACGACAACATGGGCGCGCCTTTTGATGGCACGCCTTTTGATGGATTGGGCACGCCTTTTGATGGCACGCCTTTTGAAAGATTGGGCACACCTTTTGAGGGTGCGCCTTTTACAACGGTCCGGCATGACCACATAAAACTGTCCCGACATTAATTTCGGTTAGCTTTTACAACGGTCCGACATGACCCCATAAACTGTCCCAACATTTGATTCCGGTTAGCTTTTCCAATGGTCCGACATGACCACATAAAACTGTCCCGATATTGATTCCGGTTAGCATCTCCATCGGTCCGGTGTGACCTCGTCAACTGTCCAGACTTTATCTGCTACAACGGTCTGCCACAACCATATAGTATCCTCTACAACGTTATGACACCACCATACAGTGTCCTCTACAACGTTATGACACCACCATATAGTGTCCTCTACACCGTTTGATGTATTATTGATTGTTGTATGTTATATATTACAAATTGTGAGGGGCTCTTTATATAGGAGATGTAGTAGGTGAAGTGGGTGGAGTAGGTATAGTAGGTGGTGGTAGGTGTAGTAGGTGGAGTAGTGATGGTAGGTTTTAACATAATAAAGTCCCAACAGGTTTATAACTGTTCCACCAACGGTCTTTTTTCAAATTGTTTGAAAATTTGTTCTTTCCAACGGACAAATCAACTATTCAAATAGTTATCTGTGTGAGTAGTGCATGCACCTGTTCCTTTGAATGTGCACCTTTTCACTTTAAATTGGTACCTATTTGGCTCAGTTTTTTTTGCCTATAAATTCAGTCAAATTTCCAGCAGTCCGTAGGATCAAAAATCAATCTGTATAATTCCTTTTGCTGTCTAATTATCAACTTTGGTGCATTATTCTCCATATTAATTTTAGAATAAATATTCAGAGAGTTAAAATACAGGTTTGGTTCGCCGAACAATTTGTTTTGGAGTGTTACTACAAATTGGTAAAGATCATTGTATCTTGGGAAATAGACGCCACTCAACCGTAAGCACCGTAGCGGAGCGAATCTGTCTTAAGGACAAAGTGTCACACACTCGACTTGGTCTTTAAATTATTTATTCAGTTCTACAAAATAAATATTGTAAGTTTTATTTTATTTTGTTTGAATTGTTTTAAATTATTTTATTTACACAGAAGATTGTTCCAACAATATATATATATATATATTAAATTTCCTGTGTGTACACATGATCAAGAAAAATAGATTTCAGAAAATGAGTTTGGATTTGTATATGTGAACTAATTTTGTGTATGATTAGAAAAATGAGTTTGGATTTGTATATATATACAAATATATATATATATAAGTTTTATTTTATTTTGTTTGAATTGTTTTAAATTATTTTATTTACACAGAAGATTGTTCCAACAATATATATATATATATTAAATTTCCTGGGGCAACACTAGTTAAGTTTATAGGATATAAACATAGACACGAGCACAAAAACGTTGAGATAATTTGAACCAACATGATTATTTTTAGGAAATGTCATGCTATGAGAAATTTTGTTAACATTTTTTTTTTTATAAATCTTAAATTGAAATAACTTAATAGAGCCATAATGAGAAGTTATGTGAACTAAGCCAAGTAGATAAATAAAGTTTGGATTTTTGGCCCTGAATTTTGTTACTTGGAACAAAATCTATTTGGGTTCTACATCATTAATGGGAAAAATTTAGATTTTATCATTAAATTTCCTTTATCGCCATTGTGTTTTTTTCAATTTTGAAAGACTCGGGGAGGTCTTCCTTAAGTATTATCATTTTGAGCTAATATGCTTGCTGTTGGTGTGGGATCCTTGTCAGAGATTGGTTCAGCACCAACCAACCCAGTACCCAACATCAGAGGAGCTGAGTATTGGGAAAATTAAGTTCAAGGCTTTCGATTTGGGTGGCCATCAGATTGCCCGCAGAGTCTGGAAAGATTACTATGCCAAGGTAGATATATATTTTCATTGAATGTGTAATTATCATTACTCTACTAGTGAAATTATTAGTACTTTGTATCATTGACCAATTCTTGATTCAAGCTCTGAATTAAGATAGATTGATATTTTTTTTGTTGGATTTAAATTATATTTTGATTTTCCCTTACCATTTATCAATCGTGAATATACTTATTTCTCTTACTTTCTTTGTTGCTTCTTTTGCTTAGTAGGTATGATATTGACATTGTTGGCAGTAATGTTATTGGCCATGTGCCAGCTTTGTCACACATATGTTCAACTTTATATTATTTCCTTGATGTGCATTAGTCTAAGATTACTCATTGTACTTATGTTTAAAGGATAATCATTTGTATGCTAATAATTCTTTGGGGCCATTGGACTGGGAAAAAACCCTTAAATTAACCATGATGCCCTTGTGGGAAACTCCTTACCGAGGGCTTGTGCACCGCTGAGGATTAGTTGAGCTTGATCCAGACACCCCAGTGCCAATCAAAAAAAAAAAAGATAACCAATTGTAAAAAGAAAAATGGTTATATTATTGTTCATTGTTCAGGAGCTGTTGTGATGGATTATATGGCACAGTCATATTAGCTTATCCTCCTTTACCCTATTGTTTGTGCCTTTAGCTTTTCAAACATCATAGAAGGATTGTATTTTATACAGCCAATTTCTGGGATGGTTGATATTGATATTCTATGAGTATGACTTTATGTGGCATAATTGGATGGACCTTTGTTTGTTTCCACATTTATCTCCCTACCTTCCTTAACACCCCAAATTACAAGAAGAATCCCTTTTGTGGATATATGTGTATTTTAGATTGTTTCCTATTTTTATTTCTGCTAGTCATCGTTTTTTTTTTAATTTTTTTGTTTTGTTTTTGGGATTATTACAAATGAAGGCGAAAAATGGCTGCTTATTTACACTTAAAGCAATTAAAAGTTTGAAATTGTTTTAAAGTCTTTATGTTGTAGGCTTATTGAACATAGTTAAAAACTGTATTTTGGATAGTCAAAATGACTTTTTTGTCCCCATTGTTAAATTATAGCTTGTAAGTAAGTACATATATTACGTGATACTGACATGTCACCACATATTGTGCTTAAGATCTTCATGGATCTCTCTCCAGGATCCACATGTAGGACCCACTTTCCTATCTAGATGTAGGATTTATCTCCTGATCTACATGTAAGTTTTTACTTCCCTGATCTCCCATTCTACATGTAGGATCCTACTTCCTTAATCTACATGTTGGATCTCAAATATATGATCTCCAATATGTTACTACCCAGTTCTAAACGAGATTGGTCATGTGAGATCCGTCAACTGCGATCAATCTCGAACTTAAACTTAGCTCTAGAGTAACCTAGGTCAGGAGTAGGGCCTAGGATCTTCATTCGACATCATTGAGGATACTTGACTAGTCTTAGATGAGATAGGTTTCGTCAAAATACGTCATATACCTACATTGCAAACTGTGAGTTGAAACCTACAACCTTCAACCGAAACATGTGGACCTTGCATACTTGGCACTTGTACCACAGAGCACAGATGCGTTGATGCAAGAGATCCCCTGACCCCTTGTCTGGATTTGCTGACCATCTTGATATGGTTGGGACGGAGGATCATTTATTGATCAAGACATTTATACTGTCTATGGGATTCCTCTGTATTGTCTAATTGGACATTTCAGAACTTCCTTGATATATGGTCTCCCCAAACCGTCATCGAGCCATCAATATACTTCTTAAGGATTGCCTACTGTTAGATTTTATGTTTCTTCTTTGTTTTAGTACCCAAAGGTAGCAGAAGTAGGATCAAACTGATTGTTAACTTCATAATTCTAAATGAATTTGTGAATGAGGTATTGGACATCTACTATATGATGTTTTTGCGCCTTCATAATCCCAGATAAACATGTCTCTGTTTCATTGATTCATGGGAGGTGAACATTAACATTGGGAGTTCGCTAATAACACCTTTTTGTCAAGGAGGTGTTTTAATAGTACCTCACCAAACGCATTTTCTTTCTAGCAAATCTAACTAGTTCGTAGTTGTATGCAGATACCTTATTGTTAAATAAGGGAGTTATCCTTGCAAGTATTTGCTTATCCCACTCATCTGGGTTTTGGAAACAACTGAAAGCTCTATCTTGAGAATCATATAACCCCCTTAAAAAAGGCACCCAACCCTTAAAAAGGTACCTTTTTGTGGGGGTCAGTGCCTTAATTAATCTTTCTAGGTCAAGTTAATGAGCTAGTTTAGTTCTGCTGGGAATTTGTTGGGAATTGGGATAATCTACTTGCACTGAAACTCTCTTCTAAACACCAAGGGAAATTATATGTTCGAACGTTTATTAGTTCCCAAAGCTTGAACTTAATAGGGGGGAAATAAGTCCCTTAAAGCTTTTGTATAATAGTAGGTCAATTAGGAATGATCATAAATCGAACAGAGACATCAAACAAGATCGTCTTGAATACTTACAAATTGGTTAACAATGGAAAACAGAAAAGCCTGTTAATATATTTGACTGTTCGCCATGGTTGTTAGAATCTTGCAATTCAGATTCGATTCATGTGATTCGATATTAGTTTCAACCAAAGCGATTTTTTTCATGCTGTTGAATGTTATGTTGAGTGAATTGTACGATTCAATTGTGATTCACTACAATTCAGTTTTGTTTGCATAACGCATGAAATAGCATCATTTTTTTAGAATAAAAAAAGAGATCAATTATTGATGTACGTAGTTTTATATGTATATACATATATACAATTTATTTTGTTTTAAATACTGTGTTGTATTTTTATATGTATATGTATATATACATATATATAATTATAGATCATGCTAAATAAATTTTGATTCGGTTCGATTCGATTCGATTCAATTCATAATTTGACAGCAATGGCATTCACTATTATAGAATCTTAGGTTCTAGTAGAAGGTTCAGATTTTATTTTTCTTCTGTTCCTGCAGTGTTTCGAACTTTGGTAGGTTTCTCTTCTCACAATCACAACCAAGATTTCACATTTATAGATCATGCTAAATAAAGTTTGATTTGATTTGATTCGATTCGCTATTCAATTCATAATTTGACAATAATGGCATTCACTATTATAGAATCTTAGGTTCTAGTAGAAGGTTCAGATTTTGTTTTTCTGTTCCTGCAGTGTTTTGAACTTTGGATGTGTTTCTCTTCTCTCAATCACAACCGAGACCTCACATTTATAGATCAAGTTAAATAAAGTTTGATTTGATTCGATTTGATTCACAATTCAATTCATAATTTGACAACAATGGCATTCACTATTATATAGTCTTAGGTTCTAGTAGAAGGTTCAGATTTTATTTTTCTTCCATTCCTGCAGTGTTTCAAACTTCGGATAGGCTTCTCTTCTCTCAATCACAACCGAGACCTCACATTTCTAGTGTTATCAGGGCCATCGGTAGTAGCAACATGATGTAAAATTGAACCATTGAAACATCAGACGAGGAGATCACTGGCAAGAAAGCACGGAGATTAGGCTTAACTTGATATTTTAGTTTGGGTCTCTAAATTACTGTTGCAAGTGATCTTGTAGGTTGTGTTTGGATCATGGATTTTTATAGGAATTTGGAAAGAGAAAGGAAAAAGCGAGGGAAATGTAAATGAAATATAAGCTAAATTTTTTCTCATTTATCTTGCATTTTCCTTTTCCTTTCTCTTTCCAAATCCCTACCCAATTCTATGATCCAAACACAACTTAAAATTACTATTGCAAGCACCTTGAGATCTGGTTCCAAAATTAAAAAGAAAAGAGAGGTTGTCTTGGCCCTTTTTATGGCCTCAGTTCAATGATCATTATTTGAAGATTAGTTCTGGACATGATAAGATATTTGATCCTACATTATGCTTTCTATTATAGGCATGAAACTTGTAAGGTTTTTGGCATGTCTTCTGATTCTGCAATTTATTTATTTATTTATTTATTTTTATCTTTTATTTAACTAACTGTTAGGTCAGGAAAAGCTTGACTTGGGATTCTAAGCAGTTTTCAGGGTGGGCTAATTGTAGGTTAGGTGGGTACCTTTTTGCAATTGTCAATAAACAACATGAGGTGTTGGTTTTCTCTATCTTTGCACAATGACCCATAAATATATTCTTATGTCATTATTCTGCTCTCGTTCTGTTGCCAATGTCTTATTTGGATGAGAAAACAATTTAATGAAAATGGTCGTGTGAAGTTGTCCTCGGTTGGGTCTATGCATCCTTTTGTTGAGCATTTTTATTTACCTTCAGTTTTTTTCATGGCTCGGTGTCATGTTCTTTTTATGCATCCTTCTTCAGTAAGCATTTTTAGCTACAATCAGTTTCTTTTCATGGTTTTGGTCCATGAATTTGTGACAATATTTGTTCTGTTTTCAAGTTTCCTTCAGAACAATGTGATTTGGCAGTTCTGGCATGGTTTTATTATGTGTATATATTCCCACTTCCCCCCAGCGGGTATGATTTCAATTAAATTTCACTTGGTTGTATGTGACTTGGGTGTGCAGGTGGATGCTGTTGTGTACTTGGTAGATGCTTATGACAAGGAGAGATTTGCCGAGTCAAAAAAGGAGTTGGATGCTCTCCTGTCTGATGAGTCTTTGGCTACTGTTCCCTTCCTAATTTTGGGCAACAAGATTGATATCCCCTATGCTGCTTCAGAAGATGAATTGCGTTTCCACATGGGTCTGACTGGTGTCACAACAGGCAAGGGGAAGGTAAACCTGGCAGACTCAGCTGTCCGCCCACTTGAGGTGTTCATGTGCAGCATTGTCCGCAAAATGGGCTACGGGGATGGCTTCAAGTGGGTTTCTCAGTACATCAAATAGTAAGAGGCAGTGGATAAGAGATTGGTTTCATGTTTTACATGTTATATATATTTCCATGCTGGACTCGAGTTGACATGTTGTCTGTTTGAAATCAGTGTTGAATATATTTCTCCATTGTTCCAGTTTTTTCAGTGAAATGATGAATATGTTGCCCCCTTCCTACTATTTTTAACACGTGCCAAATGGTTGATTACTTTTGACCAGAAATTGTTGGAGAGGGATACTTCAAACATGTAGACTTCATATTTGTGAAACATTTTTTGTTAGCATTTCCCAATAATTCAATAGGTACATGAATTTCTAGTTTGAATAGTACTTGTGAATGATTCTCTTAATTGTAGACTATGTATGCTGTCTACGTGGGTATTTTTTTTTTTTTACTTATTATTTTTTTGAAATTGATTTTTTGTTATTGCTGCTGTTAGTGGCTCACCATTATCTTCCATATTTTATGTTGTTTCTCTTAAAGAAGTGTGTACCCACAATTAAGGTGACAATTTTTTACAATACACATTAACACACAAAGTTCAATGTGGGTATTTTTTTTTTTTTTACATATTATTTTTTTGTTATTGCTGCTGTTAGTGGCTCACCATTATCTTCCATATTTTATGTTGTTTCTCTTAAAGAAGTGTGTACCCACAATTAAGGTGATAATTTTTTACAATACACATTAACACACAAAGTTCAATAAATTTGTTTTGTTAGTGTCAAAGTTGTGTAATGTGAATTTGACATGAATAATACCTCTGAAGCTGCTGGTGTAGTTTTGTTTTGGGCAGTTATGAGTTATTCATGTGGCAGTTTTGTTTTGGGACATTGTTTCTATTTGTTTTTATTGGAAGTTTTGTTTTGGGACACTGTTATGAAAATATTAATCAATCTCAGGAGCCAATTATGAGCTATTTTATGAGGCAGTTTTGTTTTGGGACAATGGTATGATATGAAATATTAATCTACCTATTTGTAAAGATTGAGTCTTATATATTCAATAATGCCATGAGAAAGTGGTTTGTATATATATATATATTTTTTTCTTATCTATTTGATTATTTTTGCTGTTATTTCAACATCTACTTTGTTGATTGGGGCTTTTTCAGTATTTTCTAAAATTTAAATTCGATTAAAAAAACACTCAAAATACCTTATCACTCTTTGATTTAGATTCATATCAAGTTGAGTTTTTCTATTTTTATAATTTACTGAACAGGAGACCCCTTTTACAAATCCAAATTGCCAATTACTGTATTTGCTGACATGAAAGCCTCATTTATTTACCAGATTGACGTTCAAGTCCCGCCGCTTCAGTTTGCAAAGATGTTCTTGGGATATGATTGGGGAATTTATTTTTGAAAAAAAATTGAATACGCATTTGAGTTTGTCATTGAATTGCTTTATATCAAATGGAACTTTTACTTAAATCTGATTTAAAGATTCTGTCATCATTGGAGATGATTTTTTTATTTTTTTTCAAAATTGTAAGATATTAGTTTGTTAGTAAAATTAAATTAAAACTAAAGGGATCGTCGCTGTTCCATCAGTTTGAACACCTGACTTTTTACTTACCATATCTTAAGGTTTGGCTACAAGACCACTGGCCCAAACCCAAGATCCATTGGAGAGGACTTTAGTCATAAGTTTTTTTGAGTTATTTTTACGGATATTATCACTGTAAATGTAAATGACACCATATGCTTATTAACGGATTAAATAGGTTGTATATGTAATAAACAATTTGTGCTTGTTAATTGTGTAATGGGAAAACCAATTTTTTCTGTTTAAAAAAAAAAAGGAGAAATTAACAAAATATAATTGTTGAATTGAAATCTTCCATAATTTTCACAGTTTTTGGGACTATTTTCTTGGGTTAATTAGTTTATCGTTGTTATATTGTAATAGTTATTTTAATAACCACTATACAAAAAGCTTGGACACAAAGGGGATGTAGCTCAGATGGTAGAGCGCTCGCTTAGCATGCGAGAGGTACGGGGATCGATACCCCGCATCTCCATTGGTGTGGGGGGATTTTTTTTTAAGTAAAAAATCATAAAAAAATAAAAAAATCAATACAAAATGATGTGATGACTTTGATTTTATCACTTCAAATCAATAAGTCCATTAAGGTGGATTATATTTTAAAAAAAGTCACTGCCACACTATTCTAATCAATAATTCTGAAAAAAATAAAACAAAATAAAAATCATTTTTTTTATTTACCATGAGAAACAGAAGGGAGTATATTTTAGATTGTAGTGTCAAAAGAAGGGCAAACAAACTACAAGTTTGGTGACTTAAAACCAACTACTTCCACTCTGTTTTAGTCCATATGTCTCTCAACCATACTCTCCTCTCCTCGACTTCATTCTGCTTTATTACTCCATAGTAGTTACAACTGCATCCCCTCTTTTTCATTTAAAAATTATTTGAAAAAAATAAAAAAATATTTGTCCAAAGCCAAATTGATTTTGCATTTGAACATGGCATGCCATGTTATATAGCATCAACCACAATTCATCACAAATGCTATACAAATCTTCTTGATACCAAATCTTCTTGATACCGTAAAGCTTATTTACCATTTTAGTTTGGTTAATTTTTTATCGGGCACTAAAATACTAATTTCAGTATAAAACAAGTGTTGTTTGCTCTCTTTATAATCATAAATTCTGTTTTTTTGTTGCAGTTTTTGTAAATGGCAGCAACCTTAGCCTCATCAAAATCCAAGTCTTTCGTCGTCTTTCTTCTGATCACAGTTGCTTCATTTTCAGGTTATTACCATAGCTTTTCTCCTCTTCTCTCCTTTTTCGAGTTTCCATCTTATTCTTTTTTAAAACTTACATGAGGGTTCTGTGGAATCATGAGCAGCACTTGCAGATAATGGTCCAGCGCAAATTCTTACAAATGCCTTGTTGTGCTTCAACAATAAGTTTGTGAGTCAGACTTATTAAATTTTTAAGCTAAACTTAAACAACCTCCTACTCTGCTCGTTTACAGCCCTAACAGTTGCTCTTGGGGGGTTGTTGTTACGAGTTTTATGTTTAAAATTTGTTTTTTCTTTTGAATGTGACATACTGCAGATTTACAATAGATGTAATGAGGCATACAGATTGAACCAGAGTGGAGATCTAAATGTTCCTCCTGAGGCAACAGATCAATTTTGCAATGGGGCTTGCCTATCTGAGACACAAGGCTTACTGAACTGCCTAGACAACATATTTTCAAACTTCATGTTCTACAATAAGGCCACAATTGGAGACATAAGAGGCACACTCAGAGGTGGTTGCAGTTACACTAATCAAAGAGGTGTGTATAACATTTACCGTATTGTATATATCCTAAATTTATCTTCATCCTTCAGTGATCCATCTAAGCTGACATTCTTGTATTGATTGGCACACATTTAGTTGCGTTGTAATGATAAGCTGTTTATCTTTAGCCATTGGGAAATGGAGTTTTCTTTTTACTGTCATAGGGATGTTTTAATTTGCCGCGGGCTAAAAAATCAGTTTATTGGCTAAAAAAGTTGGCTCATTTGGCAAATTTATTTTTTGACCTCTGAAAAGTATTAGAAAAGTTAAAAAGTGAATGTGCCAAACAAATTAGTTTTTTTTAGCATTCGCGCTTTCTTTTGTAGACTTTTCTTTGGGAGTTGGTAAAAAAACTAGTTTATTGATTAAAAATAAGCTAAACAAAAAAGCTAATGCTAAAAAATTTATTTCATTTGGTTTATTTTTAACTTTATTTTCTAATAATTTTTTAATGCGACTAAAGTTGGCTTTTCAACGAGAAATATGATTGCCCAAACAACGAAGCTTTTAACAAAATAAGATTTCTTTAGTCAATAGGCTAGCTTTTTAGAGAAGTAAGCTAGTTTTCTAGCTAACTTCCACAGAAGCGGGAGAGACGTCAAGAGAAGGAATAGAATTTGAGATATTGGTTTAGATCAGGATTTGAGTTTAATTTTTGGAGGGAAAAAATGAAGAGAAAAGTAAAAAAAACTTGCCTCATTTTCCTCAACAAATCTCTACTGCAAATCATTAATCCAAACAATGGATTCATAAAACCTTTGGCCTCACTCACTTGTTGTAACTTGTTTGTAGGGAACTTCAACGTGGGAGATTATATGCAAAGCGAAACAAGCAACTCACTTATGCTTCACAAACCCAATGAATTACAAGCCTTGGTGTTGATCTCTGGATGTTTATTATTGCTCTTTTTGTAAAACCATCATCACAACTATACATATGTCCAGACCAGCATGAATTAAATAGGCTTCCATCAATTTTGTGTTATAAATTTTACAAAAAACATATATAGTCAATGACCACAGATGCATTTAAGAATGGGAATCAATGTTCTATGGTATTGATCTTCAACTTCTTCGGCAAAAATATGCTTCATTATGTCTTGCAAATAATTGTATGAGAGTTCAGTTTTTTGTACTAGTAAATGCAACCAGGTTCTGAGACTGAGTAAACACACTGAAATAAGAGAGAGAGAGAGAGAGAGAGAAATTAAAACTGATTATTTATATATTAGTAAAACTTTATAATACCAAACAACCTCCAAACAGGCATAACCAAAAACCAAATGACATTTCATCCACATCCATTACTCCATAACCATAAAAAAGCCAAAACAAATTAAAGTTCCATGTTTTATTGGACCCTCCAAAATAGTACTAGATATATATTAGACCCTCCATAATAGTACTAAGGATCCATCTTTTTAATTGAAAGATCCAGATCCAGATCCAGATCCACAACCACAACCACAATAACCACCGCCACCAACACGGCCAACGCTGGAACCAACATTAACTTTGACAGGCTCTTCTTTCTTCACCTCAGCCTTAGGAGATATTGCAACTACACTTTCTCTACCATAAACACTAACTTTGCCATCGTCAACTAAGGCTTCTTTCTTGATGGTCTCTGCCAACTTGGCATCTTCTTTCTTTGGGCTAGTTGTTTTCACACATACATTGCTCCTTCCAGAATAGCAGCTCTTCCTCTCCATTGGTAATCTTTCTTCTCACAAGCTTCCAAAACTAACTCAGCCAATTGGGACAATGTGTCACAAATTAATCTTATGCTGACTGACTATGGACCTATCTATGGTACTTTCTAAGCTATTTATAGGAGTTGATGATGAGGCTGCTCATATTCTTTGTCATTAATTCTGTCTTTCATGAGCCCCTGTGCACTGCACCATTAATTTAAGTGCAATGTACTTTATGATGAGGCTGCTCAGATTCTCTCTCATTAATTCTACTTATGCGTCTTTCAACCCCTATGCACTGCACCATTAATATAAGTGCAATGTACTTTACCAAGTGCAGTGCAGGCTCTCTTGCATACAGTCCAGTCGCAGCCATCCCTATCAGATAGAGTAATTCTACACAAACATAGAACAGCAATGATAGAGACCACTAAAAGTGGTGCTCTAAAGCAACCACTAATGATGTGGCATCCACTTTAAAAAAAAAAAAAAATACTGTGGCAGTGGGTCACATCATTAGTGGTGGCACTAATTAGTGCTCTCACTCATTTTCTAACATAGAATTCATACAAAATTTTTAACAAGAATGATGTGTAGTGATTCTATTTACACACCATTTTTAAAAAAATATATATTTTTTGATTTCACTCATCGAGTTTTTATCAAACAAGTTCAATATTGGATATAAAATTATGCATAAAAAAATAGAAATAAAAAAACTAAGAAATTTTGCAATTTTTGTGCCTGAGAAACTACAAAATTTCAGTTTCATATTGCAAAATTTCACAGTTTATATAATGTGAAATTTTGGAGTTTCTCAAACTGAATTTTGCAGCTTTTAGAGAACTCATTTTTCACAAATTCTGTAAAATTTCACAAATTCTGAATTTTACTGCTTTTAGAAAACTCATTTTTCACAAATTCTGTAAAATTTCACATTTTGGAGTTTCTCAAACTGTAAAATTTATGAAAAATGAGTTTTCTAAAAGCTACAAAATTGTAAAATTTCACAATTTCTTTTCAAAAACTGTAAGTTTTTTTTATAATTATATAAAAAAAAAAACCCACCTTTTTTCTTTTTCAAAATTTTATACTGAATATTGTTTGATAAAACTTATCAATTAAATTTCCAAAACACAAATTTAATGAAAAATGGAGGTATATAAGGAAAGTTATAAAATTCCAAAAGTTAAAACAAAAAGAACCCCCTAACATGTCATTTAAGTTTATGTGCTCATTTCACGTTTTAATAAAATAAGGACATCCCGATCAAACGAAAAAAATAAGAATATCTCGATCAAATGATAATGCATGAGTTTATAAGACGATAAATATTTTCAGGTTATTACCATAGCTTTTCTCCTCTTCTCTCTTTTTTCTAGTTTCCATCTTCTTTCTTAAAACTTACATGAGGGTTCTATGGAATCATGAGCAGCACTTGCAGATAATGGTCCGGCGCAAATTCTTACAAATGCCTTGTTGTGCTTCAACAATAAGTTTGTGAGTCAGACTTATTAAATTTTTAAGCCAAACTTAAACAACCTCCTACTCGGCTCGTTTACAGCCCTAACAGTTGCTCTTGGGGAATTATTGTTGTTACGAGTTTTATGTTTAAAATTTGTTTTTTCTTTGAATGTGACATAATGCAGATTTACAATAGATGTAATGAGGCATACAGATTGAACCAGAGTGGAGATCTAAATGTTCCTCCTGAGGCAACAGATCAATTTTGCAATGGGGCTTGCCTATCTGAGACACAAGACTTACTGAACTGCTTAGAAAACATATTTTCAAACTCAGAGGTGGTTGCAGTTACACTAATCAAATGTATAACATTTACCATATTGTACATATCCTAAATTTATCTTCATCCATCAATGATCCATGTAAGCTGACATTCTTATATTGATTGGCACACATTTAGTTGCGCTGTAATGATTTCGCTGGATTAATTCATTTGCCTCTGGCTAAAAAATCAGTTTATTGGCTAAAAAAGTTGGCTCATTTGGCAAATTTATTTTTTGACCACTCTGAAAACTATTAGAAAAGTTAAAAATGTACCAAACAAATTAGCTTTTTTAGCATTCACACTTTTGTTTGTAGACTTTTCTTTGGGAGTTGGTAAAAAAGCTAGTTTATTGATTAAAAATAAGCTGAACAAAAAAGCTAATGCTAAAAAATTTATTTCATTTGGTTTATTTTTAACTTTATTTTCTAATAATTTTTTAATGCGACTAAAGTTGGCTTTTCAACGAGAAATATGATTGCCCAAACAACGAAGCTTTTAACAAAATAAGATTTCTTTAGTCAATAGGCTAGCTTTTTAGAGAAGTAAGCTAGTTTTCTAGCTAACTTCCACAGAAGCGGGAGAGACGTCAAGAGAAGGAATAGAATTTGAGATATTGGTTTAGATCAGGATTTGAGTTTAATTTTTGGAGGGAAAAAATGAAGAGAAAAGTAAAAAAAACTTGCCTCATTTTCCTCAACAAATCTCTACTGCAAATCATTAATCCAAACAATGGATTCATAAAACCTTCGCCCTCACTCACTTGTTGTAACTTGTTTGTAGGGAACTTCAACGTGGGAGACTATATGCAAAGCGAAACAAGCAACTCACTTATGCTTCACAAACCCATTGTATTACATGCCTTGGTGTTGATATTATTGCTTTTTTTGTAAAACCATCATCACAACTATACATAAGTCCAGACCAGCATGAACTAAATAGGCTTCCATCAATTTTGTATTATCATAAATTTTACAAAAAACGTATGTAGTCATTGACAATAGATGCATTTAAGATTGGGAATCAATGTTCTATGGTATTCATCTTCAACTTTTTGGGCAAAAATATTCTTCATTATTATGTCTTGCAAATAATTGTATGAGAGTTCAGTTTTTTGTACTGGTAACAGCAACCAGGTTCTGAGACTGAGTAAACACACTGAAATAAGAGAGAGAGAGAGAGAGAGAGAAATTAAAACTGATTATTTATATATTAGTAAAACTTTATAATACCAAACAACCTCCAAACAGGCATAACCAAAAACCAAATGACATTTCATCCACATCCATTACTCCATAACCATAAAAAAGCCAAAACAAATTAAAGTTCCATGTTTTATTAGACCCTCCAAAATAGTACTAGATATATATTAGACCCTCCATAATAGTACTAGATATATATTAGACCCTCCATAATAGTACTAGATATATATTAGACCCTCCATAATAGTACTAGATATATATTAGACCCTCCATAATAGTACTAGATATATATTAGACCCTCCATAATAGTACTAGATATATATTAGACCCTCCATAATAGTACTAGATATATATTAGACCCTCCATAATAGTACTAAGGATCCATCTTTTTAATTGAAAGATCCAGATCCAGATCCACAACCACAACCACAATAACCACCGCCACCAACACGGCCAACGCTGGAACCAACATTAACTTTGACAGGCTCTTCTTTCTTCACCTCAGCCTTAGGAGATATTGCAACTACACTTTCTCTACCATAAACACTAACTTTGCCATCGTCAACTAAGGCTTCTTTCTTGATGGTCTCTGCCAACTTGACATCTTTCTTTGGGGTAGTTGTTTTCACACATACATTGCTTCTTCCAGAATAGCAGCTCTTCTTCTCCATTGGTGATCTTTCTTCTCGCAAGCTTCCAAAACTAACTCAGCCAATTGGGATAATTAATCTTATGCTGACTGACTATGAATCTATCTATGGTACTTTCTAAGCTATTTATAGGAGTTGATGATGAGGCTGCTCATATTCTGTCATTAATTCTCTGTCTTTCATGAGCCCCTATGCGCTGCACCATTAATTTAAGTGCAATGCACTTTATGATGAGGCTGCTCGTATCCTTTCTCATTAATTCTATTTATGTGTCTTTCAATCCCTATGCACTGCACCATTAATATAAGTGCAATGTACTTTACCAAATGCAGTGCAGGCTCTCTTGTATACAGTCCAGTTGCGGCCACCCCTATCAGATAGAGTAATTCTACACAAACATAGAATACATACAAAATTTTTAACAAGAATGATGTGGAGTGATTCTATTTACACACACCATTTTTTTTAAAAAAAAATATTTTTTGAATTCACTCATTGAGTATTACTATTATCAAACAAGTTCAACATTGGATATAAAATTATGCATAAAAATAAAAATAAAAAAACTAAGAATTTTGCAATTTTTGTGCCTGAGAAACTATAAAATTTCAGTTTTATATTGCAAAATTTCACAGTTTATATCAAACTGAATTTTGCAGCTTTTAGAAAGCTCATTTTTCACAAATTCTGTGCGGAATTGTAAAATTTATGAAAAATGAGTTTTCTGTTGCAAAATTGTAAAATTTCACAATTTCTCTTCAAAAACTGTAACATTTCACAACTTTTATAGGTAAACCAAAAATTATATGTAACTACAAAATTAAATATTTTTTTTAAATTGTAAAAAAAAAAAAAACCACCTTTTTTCTTTTTCAAAATTTTATATTGAATAAGTTTCCAAAATACAAATCTAATGAAAAATGGCGGAATAGAACGGTAGTTATAAAATTTCAAAAGTTAAAACAAAAAGAACCCCCTAACATGTCATTTAAGTCTATGCACTCATTTCACGTTTTAATAAAATAAGGACATCTCGATCAAATGAAAAAAATAAGGATATCTTGATCAAATGATAATGCATGAGAGTTTATGAGATGAGAAATATTTTTGTGGAACTTAATCTATTATATTTTTCTTTGTTATAACAATGTGAACAAAAATACAGGAAAAAAAAAAAAAAAACAAACAAACAAACAAACAGAAGAGAAGCTATTCAAAACTCTTGCAAACAACCAACCATTCCAAAGGAAACGAAACAAGACATTTTCATCCACATGTTGTTTCTCATAATTCCCCTATCGAATGCTGATTTTCATAATGGACAACTGGTATGGTGTTTTCAAAATCAATATTTCATCAATCAAGAATAGCTCCGTTATGTCAAATTTTAGCAACATATCCAGTAAGAAGAAATGTTAAAAAATTGGAAACGATTCGTGCCACCAGTAAAGCCCATTACAACAGCCTAGTAAATATTTTCAGTACTATTTGTTACATTCAAAATGAATGCTTAAAACTACAAGTAACCCTTTTCAACAGGGTTCAGGAGGTCTCGGCCTATTACTTTCATCTGAATGGTAATTTAGATAGTCAACTCATTTACAAAGGAAACTACTTTTTCATTAGGATAAGCCTCTCAAGATTAGTTGGGCAAATCAAGGTCATCTCGTTAAGGAAGAGCTATTGTGTTGACGGCAAGCATGATCACTTTTTGGATGAACAGAAACCCCAAATCCCATCGAAGCTGCAACATCAGGGTCTACCTCAGTTTCCTCCTCTGCTGTCTTCTCTTTCTGATTCACATAACATACATAACAGATCAACAATCATGAAATAGTACGGTGAATGTAAGTATCATATCAACCAGCTTGTTTGGTTATAGTTTTTAAAAAATGATTTTTAAAAATTTTATTTTTTATTTTTTATATTTTTATGTTTTTAATGAATTTTTTTAATATTTTAAGTAATTTTTTTTTAATTTTTAGACGTACTTAACATAAATACACATAAAAAGTATAATATTTGTGAAAAAAATCTTTAAAAAATACATTAAATACCAAAAAATACAAATTAAATACGAAAATTCAATATATTTTTCATATTTTTATATATTTATTAATTTTTAAAAATATTTTATTATTTAAATATATCTTATATCTAAAAAAATAAAAAAAAATTACTTTAAATTTTATAAATATTTATTAAAAATAAAAAATATAATTTTTAAAAAATTAAATTGAGAAAATCGAAATCAAACATACAGAAATTTCTTTTCTTCGTTTATTAATGTGTATCCATATATATATATTTTTTTGATAACTGAGTCAGCACCCTTTCGGAGTGACGCACTTCAACTAATCTTGAGGAGCAAGAATTCTCTAGACTTTTTTTTTCTTAAAGTTTTCTAGAGTGGTGCATTGTGTGGTTGAGATTTAATGACAAGTCACATCAATTTTTAAGTATTAAGGGCTATTTTGGGAACTTGGCTAAAAGCCACATTTTTTGGTTAGTAGCAAAAGTCAAAAGTTGGCTTTTTTGGCTTTTTTTTCATTTGACAAGTTGGTTTTTAGCCAACGGTGAAATTACAATTTTACCTCTCATGGGTCACAATGTGTTACATAGGTTTAGTTGTAAATATTTTAAATAAATAGGAGTAGTTTAGTCATTTTATTATGATTTGACATCATAAACAAATATTAATCAAAAAAGTCAAAAGTCACTTTTTATCAACTTTCCAAATCATTTGTCTAAAAAAACCAAAAGCTTGATTAAAAGCCAAAAAATCACTTTTTACCATTTTTCCAAAACAACCCTAAATCTCAATTACATAATACACCACTTTAAGAAAAAAATATTTTAAAAGATCCTTGGTGAATCTCGAGACCTTCGGCCGATCGACTGGGCAAAGACGCAGTGCCTGCCAATAGTCAGCTGGGATTGGAATTCGATGATATAGCCACACAAATATGTTATTCTGATTAGCCGTATATGTGGAACTAAGCTTCTTCTCTTTCTTTCTTTTTCTACGTTGCCGCTTCCCTCCGCCGTCTTCCCTCATCTGTCCTCAGCCGTCGACGCCATCCTTCTACTCCATCGTAGCTCTCCGCCGTCGACGACGGCCATAGCTCGCCGGGAACTCTGGCTGTCCTCTGTCTGTCGCTCTCTATCTTCGGCTGTATCTCTGTCCGTCGCTCTCATCAATCTTCGTCTGCGTGTCTGTGTCTCCCTCGTCTGTCCTCAGCTCCTCTGTCGCTCTCTATCTTCGGCTGTGTCTCTGTCTCGCACGTAATCTGGATCTGCGGTTTATGAGGTAAAAAATCAATTTCATTAACTTCCTATAAAAAATCAGATCCATATTTTGTGAAAAAACAAATCTGAAATTTGAATAGTGGACTTCACATATGACTAATCTGAAATTTGAACAGTGAAAAAAATATGGAACTGATTTTCAGTAACTTCATTAACTTCCCTAAAAAATCAGCTCCATCCTACACCAATGCAAAATTTGTCATTTTGGGCATTCCCTAAGAATCAGTTCCATATATGAGTAATCTGAAATATGAAATTTGACTCATTTTGGACATTCCCTAAAAATCAATATGAACACATATTATGTGATAAAGGGTTGGGGATAGTCACATAATCTGAAATTTGAATATGGTCACTTGGGGTTGGGATAGTCACATAAACTTAATTGGCTGATATTTGTTCAAATCAGTATTTGTCCTCAATTTGGGCATTGTGTTAGGGAACTGATTCACTGTGTTTGTTTGGACATTGTGTTATATAATCATTTTGAATGGAGGTTGCTTAATTGTTATATAATCAAATCAGTATTTTGTTTGGACATTGTTAGGGAACTGATATTTGTTTAATTGTTATTTAATTACGCAAAGTGGAAGAATGGAGGTTGATTCAAATGTTGGTGACAATCCTTCAATAAATATTGGCGAAGAAGTTGAAGAACCTAAGATGGGTATGTGTTTTAGCTCAAGGGAAGAGGTGTACACATTTTATGGCAAATATGCTAAGCATGTTGGATTTTCTATAGCTCATAGAGCACAACATTTTGGAGATGATGGGCAATTAAAGAACTTTGCAATTGAATGTTCTCGAGCGGGGGAGAGAAAAAAGAGATCAGAAGTCAACCCTCTGAAGCCATCTTTGTCCACAAAAATTGGTTGCAAAGCAAGAGTACGAGGTAGTGTACAAAAAGATGGGAGATATAAACTAACCACAGTTAACCTTGAGCATAATCATGATTTGATTCCCACCGACTCACATCATTTTGCAATGAATAAGAAAATTCTTACTCCTGTGAAGAGAAGATTAGAAATTAATGATCAAGTAGGGATTGGGGTGTCTAGTAATTTTCATTCAATGGTTATTGAAGCGGGGGGATACGAGTCATTAACATTTGATAAGCGAGATGCAAGGAATTACATTGAGAGAGGTAGAAGATTGAGACTTGGGGAAGGTGATGCCGAATCACTTCAGAGTTATTTTATGAGGATGCAAGCACATAGTGAGAGATTCTTTTATATGATTGATGTTGATGAGGAGTTTCGCATTAGAAACTTATTTTGGGCTGATGCAAGGAGTCGGGTGACTTATGAAGCATTTGGAGATGTCGTTTCATTTGACACAACTTATCTGACGAACAAATATGACATGCCATTCGCTCCATTTGTCGGAGTTAATCACCATGGACAGTCCATTTTGCTTGGTTGTGGATTGTTATCTAGTGAAGACACTAACACATTTGTTTGGCTATTCAAGTCGTGGTTAAGTTGCATGTCAAATCATCCTCCAAAAGCTATCATAACTGATCAGTGTAGAGCTATGCAAAGTGCTATAGAAATTGTCTTTCCACAAGCTCGACATCGATGGTGCTTATGGCATATCATGAAGAAAATTCCGGAGAAGTTGAAAGGATATGCTCAGTATGAAGCCATAAAGTTGGCTATGCAAAATGCAGTTTATGACTGTTTGACAAGAGCTGAATTTGAGAGTAAATGGGAAGAGATGCTTGCAACATTCAATCTTTATGATAATGAGTGGTTGGGGTTACTATATGATGAGCGGCATCGATGGGTACCTGTCTATGTTAAAGACATTTTTTGGGCCGGCATGTCAATTACACAACGAAGTGAAAGTATGAATGCATTTTTTGATGGATATGTAAACCCAAAGACTACATTGAAGCAATTTATTGAACAATATGACAATGCCTTGAGAAGTAAGGTAGAGAAAGAGAAGAAAGCAGACTTCAACTCTCGACACAAATTGTTTGATTGCCTAACTATATATGGTTTTGAGAAGCAATTCCAGCAAGCCTACACCAATGCAAAATTCAAAGAAGTTCAAGAAGAGTTGAAGAGATTAGTTTACTGTCAGCCGTTGTTTCTGAAAGAGGAGGGATCAATTTCTACTTATAATGTCCAAGAAGCGATGGTAGTTTGTGAGAAGATGAAGCATGTGGACTTTGTTGTGTATTTTAATTCAACTGAATGTGAAGTTCAATGTATGTGTAGGTTGTTTGAGTTTAGAGGCATTATGTGTGCTCACTCACTCGCTGTGCTTGTGAGAAGGTGCATAAATGAGGTGCCAAGTAAATACATTCTGCCCCGGTGGAGAAAAGATGTGGATAGAGAATATGCATGCATCAAAACCACATACACCGGCTTTGGGAATGATTTCAATGCAAGTACCTATGAGAGGATGAACAAAAAATTGATTGCCATTGTACAACTTGCTAGTAACTCTAAAGGCAAAACTAAAATTATAGACCTTGGGTTTGATGAAATCAAGGAGAGAGTCATGAAAGAAGAATCCGGTGATGGGAGTAATTTACCATGTTCTAGAAAAAGTCCGATTTGCACCAGTTCTACACAAGGAGCTACTAGTAGGAAGGTGAAAAGGCCATCATGTTACCAAACGAAAGATTACTAAAGTAGATCAAATTGTGAATCGGTTCAAGGCAACGGCAAAAAAAAAAAACAAAAGCAAAGGTAAATTGTGTATTAACCTTTTTTTTTTTTTTTACAAACTGTATTCAAGTATGTAAAAACAATTCATAAATTTTAATATTTAATTATTCTTCAAAAAATACAGGTGGCTAAGTTGCTTTGATTTGGAGCTCAAGCTAAAGCTACTGCATATACACCGTATTATCCTTATATGGTTGGCACGCAAAATAGTATATATGTACCGGTACGTGTTCGAAAGAGGACTTCACATCAATTACTTATTTTCACAAAATTTGTTCTTCTAACATGTACTTTTAATTGAATTGTCACAGGTGGCCAATGGTATTGGAGGCACGTCTCTTACTCCATCGGACTTTATAAGTGGCACACCGAGAAGTTTGATGAGTGCTCCAACTGAGATTTATGGTTCTACATCTCTAACCTCATTGATTTCTAATGCATGCACAGCAGGAAGCTTGTATATTACAGACATGTTTGACTAGTTTCGAAGTTTCGATGTATTCCAACAGTTTGTTTTTGAGATTGCAAATTATGTTGTCTATTAATCTGAGTTTGAAACTTTGTTTTTGAGATTGAAATTTATGTTGCAACTTTGTTATTGAGATTCAGCATGTGGATTTGTAAAACTTGTTGTGTACTAATTATTAATGAAGTTATGTTGTTATTATTATTTGTTATGTAATGAAAATGTTGCACTATTTACCATTGTTGTATGGTACCAGATTCACTATATTGAACAAAGTGTATTTAATAGTTTTCCTGTAATGAACAATGTTTATTTACAGTTATCTGTATTGAACAATATTTATTGAACAGTTTCCATATATTCAACCATGTGTATTCAATAGTTTCCTTATATTTAACAATGTATATTCAATAGTTTCTCTGTATTGAACAATGTATATTCAATAGTTTCCCTATATTCAACAAAAAGGTATTCGATAGTTTTCCTGTATTGAACAATATATATTCAATAGTTTCCCTGTATTCAACAATGTATATTCAATAGTTTCTCTGTACTGAACAATGTATATTCAATAGTTTCCCTGTATGCAACAAAAAGGTATTCGACAGTTTTCCTTTATTGAACAATGTATATTCAATAGTTTCCCTGTATTCAACAATGTATATTCAATAATTTTCCTGTATTCAACAAAAAGGTATTTGACAGTTTCTATGTATTCAACAATGTCTATTCAATGAGTATTGAAAAAAGTATACAAGTTTGAACAAGTCATTTTTCATTCCACTTACCACAAAAGAGGTACAATAATTAGGTTTCAATACACAATAAAACATAACTTCCTCTAAAACATCACAGTACCATACAAAAGTATTCACTCTACTTGAACTTATACATTTACATCTGCTTCTACTTCTAACTTACATATATGTATATATATGTTAGTACATCTTCATAAGTGTTAAGGCACCAATTACAAACAACACAAATAATATATATATCAACTTTTGCATCTTTGCGCTCTGAATTCAAAGTTGTTCCATCATCTCTCTTTGTTGTTCGGTCATAGCTCGAAGTTGTTCGATAATAACTTATTCGCCGACAGTTGGCACTTCTTCTCTTGGAATTTGATGACCTCTATATTCTGGATTTATAGACAAACACCATCCGACAAAACCACCACAATCATTACAAGAGTAGAATAACTTGTTTTTATTTCGATCGGTCTCAGAAATTCGAATAGTAGCCTTTTTATTACATCTACGACAATTTTTGTTGATGTATGTCAACCGATCTAAGCTGCTGCCATTAACACTTGAACTTGATATCTGCAAAAAGGAAGAAATAACAGTGATAGTGCAACAAGTCATTTTAGCCATAGAAAGATGGTAAGGTGTAGTAAGTGTTGTATTTGAGCACTTGCATTTTATTTGATTTGATTCAAGGTGTGCTAAGGTGTAGTAAGTCTGGTAAGGTGTAGCCAACAAGTCATTTCATTTGATTCAATGAACTGCTTTACTCAGTGTTGTATTTAGCCATAGAAAGATAATTTCAATCCTAAGTTACATATATGTTAACAAGGATAATTTCAATCTTACCCCCAACAGGATCGCCCTTCTCTTAGAATTTCCTGAAATTTACCATTATATAATCCCAAACAAGAATCAACACAATCATATCTCACAAGAAGTTAATTTATACATTCCACCTTTGGCATAACCAGCAATTTTGCATCAAATTTACAACTCTAATTTCAGAATTCACAAGACCAGAAGAACTTGTTATGAAGTAAATTCTTCAACAAATCATTATTACATCAAAGACATAAGCAAATCCCATGCCACTCACAGAAAAACAACAAGTAAAATAAAAATGAAAATAGTTTATAATTCCCTTTTCCCTCCACAAATTCAATATCCCAACATAGCCTAAATTTTGCTAGAAAAATTAATTAAAATGGAAAAGACGAGAAATGAAGAGTGGTTATCTTATTGTCTTCATCATAAATTGTGTCTCTTGATCTTGAACATGTGATAATGTTATGTGGAAAAATTGTAGTAACCCTAGTTGAACTGTATGAATGGGGCACATTGGACTGAAAATTGTGAAACATTGTATATAATTATATATATTTATATTGACAGAAATTCACATATAGAGCTATTAGGCTAACCCTGTTGGGGGATGATGATGATGATGGGGCCAAGGTCATTGACAGTGATGAAACTGCCATGTCTAACTCTAAGAAGCTGCTCTTGACTTGCTTGTTTTTTTGATTAATTTGAAGTGGGTAATGCAAGGATAGTAGAGTTTCACTTGCTTACTACTTAGAGGCTGGCAAAGTTTTTTCTTGCAGCCCCAAAAATTGTATAAGAAGCTTTTTTAGGTCTTCAGAATTTAAACATTTCGTTGAGGCATTTCATCGAGCAGGTTTATGGCAAGGTATAACTCCAAATGAAAGGGCCACAATTCCCAAATCAAAAGGCCAAATTCAAGTCCCAAATCAAAAGGCCAAACTTTAATCTTTCAATTCGTTTATCAGATTGTAAAAAATACTAAATCCAAACATTCAATCCAATTGTTTATCCCAAGCCCTAATATATATATACAATTAGGGCTGCAAATGAACCGAGTTGTTCATGAACAAGCTCGGCTCGGCTCAGCTCGTTAAGGGCTCAGCTTGGCTCGTTTATCTTTATTTAAATTATATAATAAATATATTATTTATATATTAAATAACATATAAATATATATGAATACATTATTTATATATTAAAAATATATAAATATATATAAATAATAATATAAATACATTTTTTATATATTAAATAATATTTTTTTATTTAAATATTTATATATAAATAATATTAAAAAAAATTATCGAGCCAAGCCGAGCTTGAGTTTCATTAAAATTAACGAGCCGAGCCGAGCCGAGCTCGAGCCGAGTTCCTTATCGAGCCGAGATTGAGCTCAATAAACGAGCTTGATAAGTAAACGAGCCGAGCTCGAGCTCGAGCTCAGCAAAGCTCGGCTCGGCTCGGTTCGTTTGTAGCCCTATATACAATATACACATCTATATTGTGTACGCAGATATAGACGCAAATACATATGTATATACGCAGATAGATGTATATATATATCTATCGGATGAGAGGGAAGAGAGGGAAAGAGAAACAGAGAGAGTGGGGGCTTCGGAGTGAAGGGAAATTTACCTCTTAATCATCGAATGACAGGGAAAGTTACATATGTTTCTTTCCATTGATATGGTCCAAATAGTTTGGAGAATCCTTCAGGAAAGAGAGACAGAGAGAGTCGCGAGTCCAGCGTCGGAGTGAAGGGAAGGAGCTGTCACCAGCGTCGGGAGTGAAGGGAACTACCTGTTACCGTCCAGCCGTCTCAACCGTCGAGAGGGAATGAAGAGAGATGTGTGTTTTGAGGGGGAGATTATTTTGAAATGTGAAACTGTGGGTCAGTTAGTCGCGTGAATATCACGTGACTTGCCACATCAGGTGGGGGTCATCCAAACCTGGGGGTCGGAAGCATTTTTGAATCATGAAATAGTATGATGAATATAAGTATCCCATCAATTTCTTTTCTTCTTCATTTATTAAGTTTGTGTATCTATATAGCCACACAAAAATGTTATTCTGATTAGCCGTATATATAGAACTAACCACCTTCTCTTTCTTTCTTTCTCTACGTTGCCGCTTCCTTTCCTCCTCTTCTTGCTGCTGTTTTAAGATTTGCTCATCAAAGTCTATGAAAGAATAAAAAATAGAGTATCGATTTAGCTTTTTCGCCTTCTATACTTGCAGCAGTGTAGTTAAAATAGGAAAACAGAGTAGAATATGAAGAAAATAGAAATGAGCAAAAAAAATGCGAACTCCTAAAGTGCTTATGGTTGACAAGTGACGACTGAGTAAAACAATATTATTGTTGGTACTCAATAATTAAACATCTGAACTAAACTAGCATTGAATTCTAAACAGCACACTAATTGCATCTTCTTTTCACATCTTACCTTGTTCAGTAAAGCTTCCAGTATCTTTCCTCGTCTTGAGATGTTGAAATCGTTCTTGCACCTGCACACCATAAGGTTACTTAACACATGCAACTATCAAATTGTGAATATCTTCTTGCCAAAAATGAATCATTGGGTTCCCAGCTGAATAATTTGAGCTTTAGAAATACTGAAATAGTTGGGAGAACATGCTACTTTTTATCACAATTTATGCATATTGGAGGCTTTTGTTTCATGGAGAGGATTAGGGGGGATTGGATGTACAAAAAGACGATTTTACATATTAACCCAACCTTATCCAATGATTTATCACGACAGCACAAAGGATGACATAAAATGGACCCCACACACTTATTACCATAAAATTTTACGATGGTAGCACAAAACTGGATAAGTGGGCTCCAAGAATTATCATCCCATCAAACCTATTTGATCCTGCAAGTGAACAGATATTATATACAAAATTATTTCATTTATGCATGTTCAGCTCCTTATATGTAGAAAACATCCAATAATCCAGTTCTTGTTGCATAGTATGTTCCCTTTTTTAAAGAAGAAACTTCTAGTTATGCTGCAGACAGAGAATGGATATTATCTAAAGACCACTGAATGTTTCAAGGATTAAAAAAATGTTTCAAATATACAACAAAAAAGCACCAAGTGGAATACAATCATTCTAATGCATAAAGATTAACAAATTATATCTGAAGCAATAGCTATTCTTAAGCACGTATTTCCTGTTACAAGATCCCCACCCCACAAGTAATACAAAAACAGCAAGAAGGCAACAGCTACTTCTTCCTGACCAGGCATTCCCTTACTGCAGAAGACTGCCACCACTTTTGGAATGTTAATTTTTATCTGTATAGTGGTTTTCTCTTTTAATTTCCCCACCCCAAAAGTAGTACAAAAGCATCAAGAAGGTGACAGCTACTTCTTCCTGACCAGGCATTCCCTTACTGCAGAAGACTGCCACCACTTTTGGAATGTTAATTTTTATCTATATAGTGGTTTTCTCTTTTAATTTCCCATACGAGACTTCCCGTTGTCCTCTACATTCTAATTCATTGAAAGGGTATTTTTTTGGATGCATTTCACAGCAGCACATGTACATCTTGCTTCAATTTATCTTATTCTATATAAACTAACCTTTCAGCTTTTCTTTTTATTCGTCTCTTTTCTCAAATTTCCATTGTTCCATTATAAAATAAAAATGCTTTGCAAAAATGTACCTGCTGAAGGGAGGCCCGCTCCACTCGCATAGACATACCCAAAGCTCTTTGATCTAAAGAAATAAAATCACAAGAACCATAAGAACAGTATAACATTTAAACAAAAATAACAAAAACTAGTGGAATCAGTTCGCATATTGATGATTACATATGTTTCTTTCCATTGATATGGTCCAAATAGTTTGGAGAATCCTTCACTACACATTTACAAACCGAGCAAAAGTATCCTGCCTGCAAAAAAACTGATTATATCACACCAAGCCAAAGCAAAGACATATAGAACATGAACATTACAATCATAGAACAAAATTCTTCTTTTCCCTTGAAAGGTGCTGGAAATTTGTGTTAATGCATATCATGTAAAAAGCACCACTGCTCAATCTAAACTAGATAGCCTCAAACATAACGTGTTATGAGACCAAATTTGCATGGCATGGTGCTTCCAGAAGCTGGTAACCCCATGTGGACCAAATACCACCAACAAAATTCTTCTTTTCCCTTGAAAGGTTTCATTGATGTAAACATTGCATTCACATGTAAAAAGCACCACTGCTCAATCTAAACTAGATAGCCTCAAACATAACGTGTTATGAGACCAAATTTGCATGGCATGGTGCTTCCAGAAGCTGGTAACCCCATGTGGACCAAATACCACCAGCCATCACCTCTTTACCAACATTAAACCATTTAATGTTTTGCATGATATCATTGTTGCCACACTTTTTTATGCATGTTTTTGTGTTGAAGGACATAAACATCCAATTAAAACAGAAGAAAGAAAAAAATAATAATATCAAACTCCTCAGATCTGAAGTTTAGAAATGCAATGTTTTCAGTATTTTTGCTAAAATGCAAAGTACTATATTGAAATAACTTGGTATGATTACTGCAAATTGAATCAGACAATCCACAAAAGCATTATATTCCAAAGGGTTTTCCAAAAATCACCTCCCACAAAAGACAACTTCTACCAGGCTGGATATTTAGACTCAGATTAGGTCTAGTCTAGCAGATGAGAAAGAACAGAACACTTTGGTGCCATAGAATTCCATATAATGTATAAACTCTTATATATATGTCATTTAACTCCCTACCCAAAGAAATTTTATGTGCATGCCCGAGCAAACATCCATGAGAAAATAGACAACCCGAGCTTATGCACATGCAAGACTATTTCATTTCCAAGAAGTTCATGATTACTAACTGGGAAATAAATAAATATCAAAAAGGTCAAAGTAATATTTGGTTATTCAACAATTAAGAAATAACATATCCAAAGAAAGAGATACATATAACTACATTAGTAAGTGGCTGAAGAACACCTGTTGGCTTAGGGGTGCTATTGGAGTAACGACCTGACATGGAAAATAAATAAATATATCAAAGAAATTACAAAGAAGTCACGAAGCATGTAAAAAATAGAAAATTCTAGAATCAAAATACATCCAATATAAGAAGTCAAAAGTTATTTCAATAGTTTAAGGTTGATAGAGAAATAGCAACCATTCTTACTATAGCAGAAAGCCAGAAACTGAAAAATAATCAATGACCAGAATAAATTGCATCACCCCATAAGAGTAGCATCCAAAGATCTATAGCAAAAACCAAAGCTTTCACTGTCAAGGCCACAAGAAAGAGCCTAGTGACTTAGCAAACCAGGTCAAAATCTTTGTAAAGAATATGTGGCCCATTATTCATGTGAGACAAGATGTCTGAAGTCTTCTACTCCTTAACTGCTCAAACAATTTTACATGGTATTTACCAGTAACCACAGAGCAATCTCTTCTCACAAGTTTCCCAAAATTCTCTAAAACATGTTTCCATTAAATTAAAAGCATTCCATGACTTCATATAGACTTTATTAAAGAACCCAAAAAGGGTGGCCATAAATAAAAACCTAATTACATAGCTCAACTTGTAGTAACTGATGTAGAACGAGTGCGGGGTACACTCACCTGCAAATGGTGATACAATGGTAACAAGCTTTACATTTAGGGCAGAAATAGTTATTGTGAGTTGTAATTGTAACTCAAAGTATAGTAAAAATATAGACTTCCAGAGTTTGTATTTTTAAAATGAACAGTGGAATTTTGGGAGTTGTTTTGAGTTACTATTCACGGGTACTGTTTGTTCACTGGTATCAAGACAGTGTGAAAAGTACTTGTGGACTGTAACTGAGGATGATTTGAGGATATTTTTATTTCTATGATTGTTAAGTTGAGGGAAGGAAGAATGACATAGACTCGTAAAATAGGATTTAAAAGAGGGAAATAAAGGTTAGGCAAATCTAGTTGAGTTGTAAAAGGCTTAAAATAGCAAAAAAAGAAGGAACTAATGCCAACCATAAGAAGATGTCAATTTTGGCATACAATCTTATGTTGTGGGATGTGTCAATGACGAATTGAAGCAGTCAAGTGATAGCCACATGACTCTTAGAATACATAGGATGTTGAACACATTAGCTATGAGAAACCAAAAAGACTAGGATCAAGGAACTTTCTTTCTATACCTATTCCTAACACTTTAGGGAGGTGTGTTGGATAATTGGAGAAAGTTGGAAGGGAACTACTATACCTCTCCTTATTCCTCTTTTTGTACTTCTTCCTCTTTAATTCTCTAATCTCTTCATTCCATCTTGTCATTCAACATTTATTGAACTAACTTGGGATTGTTGGTGATCAAAATCTTTTTTAGCATGGCTTATTGCTCGTTTGTTTGCTTGTCACCTATGAAAGACCGACACTTCAAAACAAGTGCCGTATCCATGCCGGACACATGGATACTTTGGGGACAAGCGAACACGGCAAGGACACATATGGGACACGCCACATGGCGTGTCCCCTTATTTAATTAATTTATTTTTAGGGGACATGCCGGTGACACTTAGGGGACATACTAAGGACATATCAAGTTGTCTTTTCCCTCATTTTTCTTAATACTTTTGATGAATGTTGAATATTTATTATTATTTTTTTAAAATTTAAATACTTAATAGATCATCTATAAAAAAATATATAAATTAATTTAACAATACTTTTTTTAAAAAATAAATATAAAATTAGAGTTATTTTTGTTAATATTGATTGTTTGTGGATGTAATAGTAATCTATATAGCAAATAAAACTATGAAAATGTATGTTATTCCCATGTCCCCACCGTGTATGTGTCTCCATTTTTTGGAAATCGCGTGTTCCGTGTCTCGTGTCTACATCCGTATCCGTATTCGTATCCGTGCTTCTTAGCTTGTCACGCTACGTCATCTAAATGGCTCAACCTTAATACCTATCCATTTCTTTATCAACATCTTTCAGTCAATTTGTAACCAACTAAAAAGGCTGAAGCTGTGTAACTTTAGTAGTTTAAAATCTGATCAGGCCTTCACTCATAGGTATCAGTTTGTTTAATCAATTTAGGGCTGTTCACATAACCGATTGACCCAGTCAACTCGACTAGCCAAACTCAAACCGAAGACATACGGTTGATTTCGTGGAGCTAATCGGTTAGAATTAGTTGTGAAGAATTTTAAAAAATGAATTCCCGAATTTCAGATTTGGACCCGCAAAACCTGAACCAACCAATAAATAATTGTTTGCATTACAGATTTCTATTACTGGTGGCCTATTCTTATTTGTTCTTGAGATTACCCATTTTCTCCCTTGCCTTGATAAACAAGCAAAACACTACCATTTCCATAGTTTTCATTTCAAATATCTCTCTCTCTACTGAAGTTGAACGACTTTGCTTCTTTTTCTGTCCCTTTCTCTTTTTCCTCTACGTTTCTCTCTCTGATGGTGGCTAAGAGATGGTGAAGTCGCAGCGACAGTCGCTTTGTATGGTGCCACTCCACTATCAACCTCAGTATCAACGTTGCCATAAATGGGATTTGTGAGTTTTTAAATTTTCTTGGGTACAAAGGTTTTCTGAGATTTGTGTTTTATTGATTCCATGTTGAGATTTGTGAGATTTGCAAGATTCGTATTTGGTATTAGTGTTATGAGATGTGCTTTTATTGATTCCCATCTCTTCTCCTCTCCTCCCCATCCGATTTTTGTGTATTTTCGCCCAAAATCGAAACCTACCATTATTGACCCAAAAAAAAAGAAAGAGAAACGAATGGTCGGCTTCGAATGGTATGTCGGTTGAATTTGGGTGATTCAGTAGGTAAACTGAATAAGTCGGTTTGGCTAACGGGTTGACAGTGAACCTGACCCGTGAACACCCTAAATTAATTAAATTAAAGACCTCAACTTTTTTTGCCCATTGCTTATGGATGCCATTTTAAGTCCATAACTTCCTCATATTTAGCGGATGTTTAGTGTTGTTTGTAACTGTAAGCATATTACTCCTCAGTGAATTATCTATAACAACCACTCTTTATTTTTTGCCCCATTCCTTGAATTAAGTTGCATTCCTTGTTGTCTATTTTTTTTTTTTTTTTTTTTTTTTTTTTTTTTTTTTTTTTTTTCTAATTGATTGGTAGGCTCAATTGATTACCATAAAGTTCTACAGTCTATCTACAAAGAGTTAAACAACCCTAATACTGCAGTTCCCATATATACATTTCACTTCTTAAGTTATCTATGTTAAGAGAAAAAACAATTAAGTAATATTAATGAACATAAATCATGTCCTTGTACAGTTCAATTGATTTGAAACATGCATTGAAGGCTTGAAACAACCAATACAACAAAAAAAACTAGTTGAATCATATTTGTAAAAATGCCATATGCCATTCAACATCCCAACTTGAAATTACATATTCACCACCGGTAGCTAAACAAAAGGCTGACATAAATTAGAAACAAAGTAGCTAACCTGAGTCTTTCCCAAACGAGATTTGAGGTCCACTTCATAATCCCTGTGCTTCAAAGGTTTCCTTTGAACCGGAGGACCTTTTGCTGCAAATATGCAAACCCGTTATTTAAAACTCTACTTATTAGTTAGTGTATACAGTGCATATATGCAAAGAGAGAGGAATATAAAATGATGTAAATTTCAAATGAATTTTTTTTTTTTAAAAATGCTAGCAAGAATGCATTATAATCACAAAATTAAATTAACATACATTTGGATTTAGACCAACCCACTGCGTCCTACATTACAACAAAAGTCAACCCATTAATTAAGATAACTGAAGAAACAAAAATACAGTGATGCAAGTAAGAAAAATTTTAAGGGACAACAAACCTTTTGTTCGCGCTCACAGGCGCGTCCTAGATACTCTCCTCGATCTAACTTCCTCCGAAAAGTGTTGTCAACTCCAACCGCCTGCATACAACCAAAGTTCACAAATTCTTCTTCTTTAACCAACTTTATTTGAAACAACACAGATATAGTGAATGTGTATATATATATATACTAGCGGTTGCCACACGCGATACGTGTGCAATTCAAATAAATAAAAATAAAATAAAACATTTATCATATATTGTGTGCTAGTAAAGTGGTAAGAGTCATATTCTTTTGACATAAGCCTAAGGATCAAATTTTCTCCTCTTATTTATCAATTTTTTTTTTATTTCAAATAAAAAGATAGACACGTAACATAAGAAACAAAAATTTTAAGACACCATAAAGAGTGTTCACTTCAAATAAAAAGATAAACACGTGACAGCATAAGAAACAAAGACTTTAAGACACCACAAGAATAAGGAGTGTTCACTTTATAGATAGATAGATAATTACTAGCGGTTGGCACACTCATACAATTAAAATAAATAAAAATAAAACCAAATTTTTACTATATATGGTACATCATGCCGGTGGTAAAAGTCTTGTTTATTAATTCAAAGTTTAAGGTTTGACTCCTACTCTTATTAACTATCTAATCTTTTTATTTTTTATTTTTAATATTTCAAATAGGAAAATGAGGACATGTGGTATAAGGAGAAATCACCAAAGTTATAGATATATCCACACACACACACACAATGCATGTAATACATAGGTGAATATGTATAAAAGGAAGCAATGGAGAGAATTGAGCTTACATGATTGTTGGGCTGAGCCATTGAATCAGAATCTCGACCTAATCACTTTCTTTAACTTGCAAAATTTGATTGAACTATGAATTCATGAAAAACCAATTGAGGCCACGGAAGTAGACATCGTTGAACTATACCGATGAGAGAGAAATGGGGGATTATCAAGTCGGAGACGATGACAATGAAAACGCTAAATTGTGATTGTTTTTGAGTCCAACTCAGAAAACAATCTTGGAAGGAAGGGAATTGAGAATGCCAAGAACAAACCATAATTTGGTTTATTTATTTTTAGAAGAAATTCTCAGTAATTAATAATTATGCTAGTGTTGAATCTGAAGTCTCGAGAATTGGAAATCAGCAGTATCAATATCATTACAGACGAAACAAGCAACCGATTGGGTGTTTGGGCTAGTGGCATGATTCTCGCCTCGGGTGCGAGACGTCGCGAGTTCGATTCTCCCAACACCCCAAGACCGCTTTATTAGTATATTTTTTTATCAATTAACCCGTTTCTAACTTTTTATCAAATTTTATATAAAAAAAAAAAAAAAATTATGAAAAGATTATTGATGATTTTTAAGCATTTTTATTAAATTTAAATATAAAAGAAAATGAGAATGATTAAAGATACTCTTAAGGCCTTGTTTGGTAATTTTTAGTTTAAGTCAAAAAGTCATATAAGTTGTCACATTATTATTTCTATTTTTTTTACATATCTTTTCGTAAAAATTTATTAAAATAATTTATTCCTAAACAAGACGTAAGTAAACCAAGAAATTGTTGTATGAGTGATTTTGTAAGAAATGATAAAGAGGTTACGGATTTTTTATTTTTTATTTTCTATTTTCTCATCTTTGATTTATAAGTTTAGTGTCAAATGATGAAAACTGACAAGAAAATAGCTTATATCATTTCTCACCAAAATAGTGAGATTTGGTAAGAAATAAGTTAATTAGTTATAAAATTTTTATAATACCAAGATATTGTCTCTTAAAATACAAAGAAAATGAAAAACAAATCTCATTCATATTCCTTTCACATGTATTATTTACTCATCCAAACATGATGGTGATAAAGCATAATTATTTATTTTGTTTTCTCACCTATAAAGACTAAAATAATTTTTAGTTTAAGTCAAAAAGTCATATAAGTTGTCACATCATTATTTCTATTTTTTTTACATATCTTTTCGTAAAAATTTATTAAAATAATTTATTCCTAAACAAGACGTAAGTAAACCAAGAAATTGTTGTATGAGTGATTTTGTGAGAAATGATAAAGAGGTTACGGATTTTTTATTTTTTATTTTCTATTTTCTCATCTTTGATTTATAAGTTTAGTGTCAAATGATGAAAACTGACAAGAAAATAGCTTATATCATTTAAAATTTTTATAATACCAAGATATTGTCTCTTAAAATACAAAGAAAATGAAAAACAAATCTCATTCATATCTCTTTCACATGTATTATTTACTCATCCAAACATGATGGTGATAAAGCATAATTATTTATTTTGTTTTCTCACCCATAAAGACTACAATAATTTTTTTCCCCTTTTCTCACCCTATTGTCTTTGATGTTTAAGTTGTTACCAGTATTGAATCATCTGATAATTAACCATTTACTTTCCCAATAAAAAATAAAAACTCAATTTTTTATTTTTCATGTTGAAAATTATGATAAATTATACTTTGCTCTCTTTATATTTTGTCACTTTTCCACTTTGACCCTTAAGGTTTTTTTTTTTTTTTTTTTCACTTTGACTCTTATGTTTTAATTTTTTTTTAGTTTATTCTTAAAATTTATTTTTGTTAAAAATTAGATAAAAAAATGACACATTGACAGTCACGTGACATAAAATATTTTATTTTATATAATTCACATCTCTTATATAAATTTAAACTCTAATATAATAATATACTAGTGTATGTCCGTACCCGAAGATACAATGTAAATAAAAATAAGCGAACAAAAAGAAGAAAATATAAAAAATAAATAAATAGAGAGAAAAATAAAAATAAGAGAAAATAAAAAAATAAAAAGAAAAGAGAGGAAGTTGAGATCATAGAATCATGGAAGAATTATGCTAGGGATTCCAAATAAACTACCAATTTTTTTACCAAATTTCTCACACGATTTGTGTGGGTCATACACCCATGTGAGATATTTGGTAAAAAATTTGATAATTTATTTGAATCCATAGCATTTTTATCATGAAAAGATGAGTGAGAAAATAAAAAAGTAAGAGAAAGAAGTGAAAAAGTAAAAAAATGTACATGTAAATTATTTTTTGAAAAATATATCTTAGTCATTATTTTATAATTTAAACATATTAGAGCCATCTAAATGTCTTAGTAAGTTAAAAATATGTTAAAGTTTTAAAAACCGTCATGTTTTATTATATAGATATTTTTATATTATGTAATAATTATTATAATATTTTTTGTCTAATTTAAAAAAAATATATATCATAAAAAGGGTAATTTACACAAAAAATAAAACAAAATTATTTGTGGTCAAAAATAGTGAAAAGGAGGGGGAAGGCGGGACTCGAAACGAAACCCCGGATGTACGAGCCATCGCCTTGGGTTGGGACACCATAACTGTCACTGACTCTCAGAGCCATTTCTCATTACCAAATCAACCCCAAGAAGAAGAAGAAGAAGGAGACCTGTGCAAAAATGTCGAGCTCACAGATCTATTGGGCCATGGCAACCCTAGCTTTGTTCTTAATCTCATCAGCTTTCGCCGACGATGATGTCGTAGTATTGACGGAGGATAACTTCGAGAAAGAGATCGGTCAAGATCGAGACGCTCTCGTCGAGTTCTACGCTCCTTGGTATGTAACTCAAAATTATCATCACCACCACTTTTAATCTCCTTTGTAGTAAACGTTTATTATAATTCAGATTGATTTGTTGATCAATGTAGTAGTATTATTACCTAATCGCTAGTTGAAGGACTCTTTGAATATTTGTTTGAATTTTGTGGTGACGTTGATTGTGCTTGATTGAATATATCTGTTTTTCTCATAATATAGATAGATCTTAGTAGGATTGGAACTTCTGAACTAAGGCTATGTTTCAATAACAACAATCTTGAGGGGAATGTGAATCTCATAAATGTATAGGGTTAATTATAGTATTGTAAGACCCTCTCATCTATGAAATTCGTGCAAGTATACCTCTTTTGGACCGGACTGCAGGGGAAAGTAATATATTTTTTTAATAGTTTAGAGGGTCAAAATATATGGTTTCATAGATGAGAGGGGGTAAAGTTATATTCGCTCATAATTGAGGGGTCTTGACCTTAATGTATATGGCACTGTCCATGTTAAAGGGAAAATATTGTTAGGAGACCAACTTGGTTTTTTTACTAAGCTGTATTTCCAATTTCTCTACTATAAAATTTTTCATTTTTATTGGACGTTAATTAGGCTTCTTTATTGAACCTATTCAATCTGATGTTTTCTTTTTGCTGAATTCCACTGCATGTAAATGGTATTGTGTTGTTATTGCTATTTATAATGCAATGCATTTTTTATGTCATGTCTGTTTGGTTGGGTTATCTGATGATGGAACCTATAATTTCAGATTTGTGTTCCATGGCAGGTGTGGGCACTGTAAAAAGCTTGCACCAGAGTTTGAGAAGCTTGGTACAAGTTTCAAGAAGGCAAAATCTATTTTGATTGGAAAGGTTAGTCTTTAGATCTTAGAACAAATTTTCCCAAGTTTGAAGATTTAATTTTTGCAATGCTTGTTGTATGAAAGTATATCATGATGTTCAATGCACGAACTAATTATTATAGAAACCAAATGAAACCAAAATCTTTAGATCTTAGAACAAATTTTTCCAAGTTTAAAGATTTGATTTTTGCAATGCTTATTGTATGAAAATATATGATGATGTTCAATGCACAGGCTAATTATTATAGAAACCAAACCAAACCAAAAGTAAGTCTTGTGTCCCAATCAGGTGGGGTCAGTTGCATAAATCATTGTTCGTCATTCTGCTCTGTCAAGCTATGATTTGGACAACCTATGATTTGCATTTTAAATTTGTGTATAATTGGGATGAACCATCTAAGTAAAAGAATCTATAATGTTTGTGCTAAATTTTTTGGATTAATGAATAAAAGATCCATAATTATTTTTTATTTCATCTTATTTTTTGAAAAATTTAAAGATTTTTAGTTGGTTAACTCCAGTGAACTAATATACTATGATGCCATCAATATCTTGACTTGTTAGCATGACTCTCATTTCCATCATCCCTCGTGATTTCTAGCCTATGTGATCACTAGCATATTGCACTAGCACTCTTGACTTCTACAAATTTGTTGGTAGTGTTTATGGCCCTATTTGGAATAGCTTATTGGAACTGCTTATAGTTTTTGTTTTTGGGGGGGGGAAATTTATACCATAGTGTTTGGTGCAGCTTTTGTGTATAGCTTGAGGCATAAATAACTTAATAAGCTTAAAAAAAAGTTGATTATGTGGAATTTGGGTAAAATTAAACGGTAACTGTAAAAGTTCTTTAATATATGCTTTCATGTTGTAGATGGAATTTATAAATAACTGACTTTATATCTAGGTGCCCATGCATAAACAACTCCTAGATTCTTGCCCAAGCTTGAAAGGCTGAAGAATGAGAAAGAGCACTTCCCAAATTTTATGTCCTCTCAAGCTTTCATGTGATTGCTAATAAAATAATAATTGTTTTTATATTAATTTGTAAATTTTGAGTTGAGACATGACCTTTGATTTAACCCCTTTGTTCCACCTTTCTTTTTAATTCTTCTAATTTTGAAAGGAGCTTTTATTGTCGAGATATTTTTTAAATTCATTTCCCTTGTAATTCTTGTATGACGTTTTCCGCCAACAAATTCTTAATTAAAAAATATGAAGTTTTGTTTCTATATGTAGTATGTGCACGATAAGCTGGAATGAAAAATAACATTTTTTAAGGGATATATTTAGAATGGGATGTTTTGGTGTCATTTCATTTTCATAACTTATCAGTGATACTCAGAGTGAAAAGTGTACTTATCAAAATGACAATAGTAATAAATTATTATGATTAGTATCCCATCTCTTGCACTAGGTGGTAGCACGATAGATGTTACTGCCTAGCCAAGTATAATTGATACTAAAACCTTGATAGTAAAAATTGTGGTTAACAATTTGAGATATGAAACCCTTGGTGCACTTTTAGCCTAAGAAGCACGGATAGGAACATGCAACACGACACAGATACAATACGGACATGCGAACACATCAATTTTAAAAAATGCACGACACGACACAACACGGCTTGACACGTGGGGGACACAAACAAAATATATAATTTTATATATTTATTATATATCATATATATGAATATATGATTCGAAAATAATAAAAAAAATGTAATATAACACTTATTTTATAGATTTTAATTGTTTCTTCTTTTATTCTTGTATCCTAAGTTATTTAGTTTAAACTTATAATAATAGTTTCATATGTGTCTAATCGGTGGACATGTGTGTTAAAGCAGTGGACATATGTGTTTAAGCAGTAGACACATGTGTTTTCCAAGTGTCTGAAGAATGTCTAGATTGAAAAAAACTTTAAAAAAATATGACACGTTTTGATGAGTGACGGATATGTGTTGAGAAGTAGTATCCAATGAGTGTCAGTGTCCGACAAAGACATGACATGGACGCACTACCTTTCTAGAAGTGTCTATGTTTCTTAGCTTTTAGCCATTGACCTCAAATTAACTTTTAAAATTATTTGCCCACTCCCAATAAGTAAATAAATAAATAATTAAAAAAGGGTAAACTATTAATAAGTCTTAACAGTTAGACTTAATTTTCATCAAATCCTATTAAAAATTAGTCCAAACAAAATTGTCACTAAAAATAAATCAGTGACAATTTTTTGTATGTCGTTAAAAATTGACAATTAGTGACTTTTTTTTGTCACAATTTTTATAACTTGTCGCAAAAATTTACAATTAGTAACGTTTTTCTATGACGAATTTTTCAAATTGTCACTAAAAGTTGAAAATTAGTAACATTTTTTTTGACGATTTTTTTTAAACTTTTGCTAACAGTTATAATTAGTGACTTTTTTTGACAAAATTTTCAAACTGTCACTAAAAATTAACAATTAGTGATGTTTTTTAATAGTGTTTGATAAAAAATGTCATTAATTATCATAGGACCTATTGGGCAATAAATTCACCTATACGCTTCCCCCATAAAAAAATTGATAGAGCACCTTAGTAAAAAGTAAATTTTTTGTTTTTTTTATTAATGAAAATTAGTTCGTATGTTCTTTGTAGTTTATTGGATGGTTTGTTGTAGGTGGACTGTGATGAGCATAAGAGCCTTTGTACCAAATATGATGTTTCTGGGTACCCCACAATCCATTGGTTTCCCAAAGGATCCTTGAAGCCTAAGGAGTAAGTGTGTGTCATTTTGATTATTTTTCGTTCTCATATCTTTTCCTTCACCATCATCATCAACTTCTCTAATTTATTTTTTATTATTTAGATTATGGAAACATCTGAGGATTTGAGACATGCACACACTCTTTGAAATATGCCCCATCTTAAAACTTTTCTATATTTTTGTCTAAGCTCCTTTTAACTAGGTTCATTATTTGTTAGGTATGAAGGTGCACATACCCCAGAAGCCCTTGTGGCGTTTGTGAATATTGAAGGAGGTAATAATCTTACCTAGTGAACCTACTTCCTTCCTACGGGAATCCATAAATTTTCTATATGTGTGTGTGTGTGTATTTTTGGTTTGGTATGTACAGACTTTTTTCATGCCAACATACTTGATATGTGATATATTTATTAGAATTTAAGGGCATGCTCGAGAAGACTCTGAGAGCATATACAATGATGAATTGCCAATACCAAAATTTGGCAATGCTACAGTGCCAAAAAAGTTTATCTTGCTCCAATAGTGCAAATTCCATTTCTTCTTTTTCCTTCACAAAAAACCAAATACGAATGGCATTTGTGGGCGCACCATGAGAGATAGAGACAAAGGTTGCCATTGCCAACATTTGGAGGTCTTTTGGCAGCCCGTTGTAGAGATGCAATTTTGGGTTGTTTTGCCAAAATTTGGCTTTGGCAGCCCTTTTAGAAGCTGCATTGGAAGTGCCCTAAATGATTTGAAATGTATTTGCAAGATAATATAATATTGGTTGATTTTAGAATACAATTTTTCTGTGTATAAAATGAAGAGGTCTTACCTCATAAACTGTGCACTATGAGCCTCTATTGATAACAAAAACCCCTCGTATGCAATCATACACATCTCAAAGATGTTCCTTTGATGCCATCCTGTTCCCTCTGATATAAACACTTAACTGCCAAGTTTTTTTGCTGGTGTTTTTCTGATCGATTAACTTCAAGTAAATTTTTTATTCAGCAACTGATAGGTCCTAATCTTATGGATCTCCAAGTCCAACTGCTTCAATTGGCACTTCTTTTTTTTCTTTCTTCTTCATCACTTGTTAGAAAGTAGTATGTCAGAGCCATCTATAACAGTGTTCATTAAGAGGCTCTTTCTTGATTTAAATTGACCTGTCCTTATACCTATCATTGTGCTTGTGGAGTGTATTATTCTAAGCTTTTTGGCAATGGTAGAGTTAAACTTGGCTTTATTGCATTTGGACTTACCAGTGTTCTTTACACGGTGATAATTCTGAATTTTTGGGACATTCGTGTTGATATGGTGTATGCTATAGACAGCTGGTATGCGTTTCAAAGATCTTAAAGAGGTTTATGTCTAATATTTTAGCTTGTAAGAGAAACAATTGTGTTTTATTAATTGCACTTTAATTAAGTCTTTATTTTTATTTTTAACTCTTAACTAAAGTGGAACCCGATTTAAGGTATTCACATGTTTTTATTTATTTATTTTGTGTTTTGTGGTGATTGGTATTGCAAGTATTGCGAAGGGAAACAAAATCATTAGTGATGTGACCAGGCAATAGGATTCATATGTTGAGATTGTGTGCCATTCTATATAAAGCGTGTGTAGATGATTTCCAGTTGAGATATTTGTTGACATTGTATGTTGCTCTATTTTCAGGGACTAATGTGAAGATAGCTGAAATCCCATCAAGTGTAGTGATTCTAACATTTGATAATTTTGATGAGATTGTCCTGGACAAAACGAAGGATGTTTTGGTCGAGTTTTATGCCCCCTGGTAAGAGTACATGTTCGGTTTTCTTCACATACTGTTCATGTGGTCAGATATTACATGACAGGGGGTGTTTCATATTTAGCTCCATTTAGTGTGTTTTACTGAGCAAAGTGTTTTCCTCTTAGCCAACCTCATGTGCTAGGGATGACGAATTGAATGGAATTTGAAATTCAATTATATATGCTTTGCATCCCTGACCATGCTGTTATCTTTTATAGGTGTGGTCATTGCAAAAACCTTGCTCCTGTAAGTAGCTTTTTAGTTCTTCGATTTATTTTTTATTTTTGGTTTGTATTGTGCATATAAACAACAACAGATACCTCATTTTGTACTTCTTTCTGTTATGCAGACTTATGAAAAGGTTGCCACAGTATTTAAGCTTGAGGAAAATGTTGTAATTGCTAATCTTGATGCTGACACACACAAGGATCTTGCAAACAAGTGAGTTCAGATTTGAGAATTACTATAGTTTTATTTTTGTCCTCGTAAACTTGGGTTTTGCATTACTAGTTCAACTTCTCCTCAAATTCAGAGGCCTGTTGGAAATTATTTTATGCTGAAGTTCAACATCCTCACTAACTGAAATCAATTATTCTTTCATGCATGCAGTATCTTGTTGTGGAATTTTTTTCCGTTTTCCAACGATTATTTCAGTTTGTTGTAACTTCATTCTATTTTCAAGTGGAAACCCTTCCCTGATGCAACTTTAGTGCCTTCTCAGGTATGATGTGAGTGGCTATCCTACATTGAAATTTTTTCCAAAGAACAACAAAGCTGGTGAAGATTATGAAGGTGGCCAAGATTTAGATGACTTTGTAGCTTTTATCAACAAGAAGTGTGGCACCAATCGTGATGCAAAAGGGAAACTTACTGCCAAGGTTAGTGGCACAGTTATTCACAATCTGATCACAGTACAGTTTCTTTGGTGTTTTTTTTTTTGTTTTTTTTTTTTCTTTCAACCTTGATTTTCTGATGTTGCTTTATTCAGGCTGGTATAGTTGAGACATTGGATACTTTGGTGAAGGAGTTTGTTAGTGCTGGCAATGATGAGAAGAAAGCAGTCTACGGCCGAATGGAAGAGGAAATTAAGAAGCTTGAGGGGTCTGCTGCAAGGTAGTTGTAATTGCTTACGGGTTTTATGTTTTGCATAAAGAACATGAACCTTATATTTGTAGGATATAAAACACTTGGAATTGGTACTAGGATTTATTTTATTTTATCTATTTTATTTATTTCTTATTTATCTGTTGCTTTTCTTTTCAGATACGGAAACATCTACTTGAAAGCTGCCAAGAGCTGTATGGAAAAAGGAGGTGATTATGCCAAGAATGAAATCAAAAGGCTGGAACGCATGCTGAGCAAAGTAAACTTTGGTTGCCCCTTACAATGTGGTTGTTTAGTCTGCATCCACCAGCACAATGCTCTTCCTTTATCTAATTAATTCCTTCAAACAACTGCACAAAACTATCATTAAGCACACAAGCTTTCATTTAAATTTTTTTTTTGGGCAGCCTCTACACAAGTACAATCCCCCATATGATTATAAGGCTGTTGAGTACCTTTTTAAAAAATTAATGAAGTATGTTGGGGGCTCTGGTTGTTAAAACCCAGCCTATCAACGTTGAGGTTTTGGGTTCAAACTTGACGGCAGCCACTTTGTGCAAATTATGCCGAAGGTTAGGTCTGTACCTAATTTACTCATCCTAAACCATCATCTAATGGGGACTGAACAGTGTTGCCAGAAAACGCCGATAACCTAGCAAATTACAATTTGGAATGCACGTTCCGAAATATAGTACACTTTAATTCCAAAACCGTAAATTTAGAAATCTAAATGATCCTAAAGTTTTTTTAATATATTTCCTTTTATCAAATATAATGAGCTAAAATCTAAGGTGAGTGTAGTTTTGATATGACAAAACATCATAAATAGGTCACAATGCTCATAGAAATGTGCTGTTATATGATTAACATAGGGACTGAACTAGGTGTAGTTATTTTATTTTATTATTCTTATTATTTTTTTTGTGGTTGGTCTGTGAAGGGATGCTTGTTAGATGCCAACAGAACGTTTGTGATGCTGGTTATGACTTCAATCTTTGGGGACTGATCTTTAACCATCTTTCATTATTTGTGTTGTATTGGTGCAGGATATCAGTATGACGAAGGCTGATGAATTCGCTTTGAAGAAGAATATCCTATTGGCTTTTGCTTGAACACTGGGACAGATTTTATTCTTGGGAGTTATACTGCTTCCTCCTGGGTTCAATCTCCTAATTTCCTTCTTCAGGTCAGGAAATGCACTATTTTTTGCAATGCTTTTAGTGCACGTCTTCACTCTTAGCACATTTTTGTTATCACAATTTCAACTAAATTAGTAGAAGAGAGGGAGTGAACATTAAGATCAAAGCATTAGTTGATGGGTAGTGATGCATTTATTTTGTTTATTAGAATAATCATTTTTGAATAATTAACACGTGTCATTTATTTATTTGTGGTGAATCTGCATTACTTCTTTTTTATTTGAAAAATGATTTAGAGCACTAAAAGAAGAGCACTAAAAGAGCATTAAATTGTCCTTTTCCTCTTTGTGTTTTGTCTTTTTCCTCTTTTCTTTCTATTTTAATTTTTTTTTAGGCATGCCACGTCATTAAAGCTGTTTTTAGTGGTCTTATTTTAGTGGTCTGTATCATAGTTGTTTTTATTTTGTGAGTTTTGTGTTGGATGCTTGCTTTTTGTGATTGGAATTGACATGGAAATAGTAGGACATCTTCTTGCTGATACTTTCGTTTCTCGGGCAAATGTAAAACGACTCTGTCGTGTGTTATGTTCTTTTAGATCGATAAATGGACATCGTTGAATAATTACCCAACATCATACAGTTATTAGTTATATTTATTGAATTGAGCTTCTTTTTTTTTCTTTTTTTTTTTCTTTTCTTTTTAATCTACATGTACAAACTTCAAAAAATAAACAAAATTTATTAAAATAAGCCTAATTACAAAAATAAAAATTAAGTATCAGGATGATAATACATAAATTTTATTTTATTTTATTATTTGGGGGGTAGAATACATAATCATTGATAGGTTCACAAAAAACAATTGAGAATTTTGGAAATTGTATGCATATGCCACATTAAATGAGCGGCATCCACATGTGGGCTCCATTGACGTGGGCGGTTTGAAGATAACATAATATATGACACGGTGATATGTCTCTAATGTTATATGATTTGATGGTATTTCTCTAATATTATTGTTTTATTTTATGAATTTGAATTACCGTAAATTCACTCGGAAAATCTATGCAATTTAGGTCCCGTTTGGGAAGAGGTTAATTTAGTAATTTTTTAGTTATTTGGCTAAAATATGAGTTAAAAAAAACTAGTATGTTTGGGATGACTTTTTGACTTTTTATAAAAAGATGTGCAAAAAGTAGAGAAAAAAGAGAATCTTTGACTTTTTTGTATGAGTTGTTGGCTTTCGGCTAATTTAGTAACTTTTTGACTTTTTGGCTAAAAAGTTCGGTTGCCAAACGAGGCCTTATTTATGTAAGGTGAGGGAGAAGTATTTTTGGTTTCTACTTTCTGATTATCAAATTTTAACTTACAATAAGTTGTACTAAACAGATTCAATAGGTTCTCGTTTCTCTCAAATGGACTAGTTTGAATTGGTTACTGATTCAGTCGTTATTTGAACGATTTTATCAAAATATGCTGATTTTCAGTCCAAATTTCTGCGAGTTGTTGGGACTGGAACCAAGACCAATGCTAGTTGGATTGGCGGCCCAATCTGATTTTTCAAAATTGTCTTTTGATAATTGGAAAGCAAGCAATAATTTTCTTGATTCAGCCTCAAAATAGAAGGGACAAATTACATATAAGTGGAATAGTCTAAATAACATGATTGCACGAGAATTTTTCAACGCAAACTCTAACATGAAAATAAAAAAATAAAAATTCACTCTAGCACTGATTTGAGACTTCTCCAAATAAAAGTTGCGCAGTAGTTTAAGCATAACATAATTTCATGAATATAGATTTGTGTATTGTCACTTGTGAGGAATATGTAACACCTTTAGTGTCTCTGATCAAATTTACATATGCCTAGCAGGAGCAGACAAGGAGGAAAATAGGATTGAAAGTGCTGTTTTTTTGCTTTTTAAAGTATAACTACAAATGGATCATATAAACTCCTACACTTTTTCCACCTTAAAAAAAAAGGGGGTTCGCTTCCCTTCAGTCCGTGATCGGACTGGTGGATATATTTGGGCCCGTAGGAGCCCACCACGAGTTTCATTTCAATAATCTGAATCGTACAATGTGTAGAACTCGTTGAGTATTATCAGTCTGTAAAAAATTACGTTTATTGAATAACGATAATTATGTGATCAAATCAGTTCTCGTTTCAATATCCAATATATCCAATTACGAACTAGCGGGAAACCCAACTCTAAAAAAAAAAATGCTTATACTTTTAGCATCTACATAGGATTGATCCAGGACCATGATTTTTGGGGACAAAGGATATGACTTTTAACTGAAAAATTTGAAATGCAATAGCAATTTCTACTATTACAAAATAATAATAATAATAATACTCTTAATTTAAACATTGTTCACCAACATAATTGAGTACAAATATGATCATATAGTTGAGTATATTCTATTAGTTGCATTAGCTTATTAAAAATAGTAATTATTGTGATATAAAAAAAATATATATAAATGAGAGATAAAAACAACAACAATGATTCATCCCCCCTTTTTCTCCCACCCCCTTTGACCCCCTCTCTCTCTCTCATTGGTTACATTTTTTTTTTTTCTTTTTTTTCCTGCTCCTCCAATCACCATCTGCCACGTGGCAAAGGGGGGTGAGGGGGTGACCCCCGAAAGGGGGTCCCAAGCATTATTCTAAAAACAATCATGCTATAATTTGAAAAAAGATTTGTGTCCTTTCAAATAGCGATATTTTGTTGGAGAGTTGTTTAAGGCAAATTGCTACTAGAGATGTTCTTAATAAGAATATTATGATAAATTCTATTAATGAAAATGTCTTTTTTATTTGATAGGGAGATGTTCTTTTCAAGATAATCAAAGTGAAAACTGCTTTTTAGGTAAAATCTTTGAATTTAATTTTAAATACAATAGTAAAAGCAACATACCATAATATGTATTATATATATACACATACTATAATCCACGTATTAAACAAAAAGGCATAACCCACAGTAAAATAAACAAGAACAGGGAGGCTAATATTTGATAAAATTCAATAATTTTTTAAATTTTATTTTGGTTGTCATTATACTTAATAAGTAAACTATCAATAGGTCATAATAGTTGGACTTAACACCCATAAAGTTTTATTGAAAATAAGTTCTAATAAAATCGTTACTAATTGTGACAGTTTTTTGCATGTCACTAAAAATTGACAATTAATGACTTTTTTGTCACGATTTTTATAAATTGTTGTTAAAACTTACAATTAGCGTCATTTTTCCCGTGACAAATTTTTTAAACTGTCGCTAAAACTTGTAATTAGTGACATTTTTGTGACAATTTTTAAATTGTAGCTAAAATTAACAATTAGTAACGTTTTTTAATAGTGTTTGATGAAAAATATTTTTAATTATCATAAGACTTATTGAACAAGAAATCCACTTATTAGAATTTATACGTAAGTCTAACTAATTAATATGGGGTTGTGAAACATTATAATTTTTGCGAAACTTTATAATTTTTGGGATATGAAACGTGATAATTTTAGGATTCTGTTGTTAATTATTAGAATAATATGAGGATTTTTCTTAAAATTTTGAGGATGCAGTCGCCATGCTTTGGATTTGTCCTTGCATAGGGACAGTGGTGAGAACATCTCCAACAGTGTATTATTTATATTGAACAAGAAATCCATTTATTAGAACTTATACGTAAGTCTAACTAATTGAGATGATATCATCTCCTTTGTTGTCGTGTTCCTAAGTTGAGATTATTGAAGAATCTAAGCCTCTCATCATATTCTAGAGAATTCGAAATTGTTCTTCAAGGATCTTCGAAGATTTTCGAATTTTCCAACTCCTTTCTTGAACCCTCTCCTACACTAATTAATATGGGGTTGTGAAACATTATAATTTTTGGGAAACTTCATAATTTTTGGGATATGAAACGTGATAATTTTAGGATTCTGTTGTTAATTATTAGAATAATATGAGGATTTTTCTTAAAATTTTGAGGATGCAGTCGCCATGCTTTGGATTTGTCCTTGCATAGGGACAGTGGTGAGAACATCTCCAACAGTGTATTATTTAGGTATAGTATAGTGTTCAATATTCTCTTGGGTGTAATTCCTTATAAATTAAAAATTAAAAATTAAAAAAATAGATATTAAAAACATTTCGGTACAAACTTTTAGAATTAAACAAGGTCAAAATTGCACTGTGCAACAAAAAAATACTCATTTCCAATAATGTAATATATGTCATGTTAAAATATGTTACTATTTTACACTACACTTTTGATTTCATTTTCCCCTTCTCTACTGTATGGGCCCGTTTATTTTGGATTAAGTAGATGGGAGGGGATTAAGATGGTGGAGGTGTTATTTAATATTGTATTTGTTTGTAGAGTTGGGGAGGAAATTAGGATGGTGGATGTGATATAGATGGAGGTTGGGGAGGGTATTGAGATAGAAGGTTGGAGAGATAGTATTAGAAAAATAGTGAGGGGATTAGAAATTTTTTTATTTTTTTTATTTGTTATATATTGGGAATTTTTTTATAAATATTAATGTTTAATTTTTTATATTTTTTATATTTGTTTTATTATTTTATATAAAAATAATTTAACAATTCTTACACTAACAACTATCATCAAAACAAACACAATTTTACTTAATTCCCTCACTATCAATCCACTCACTATTAATCCTCTCACTACGAATTCCCTCCATTCTACCTCTGAAAACAAACGGGACCTATAGGGAGAGAGGTTGGTGTTTCTAACCTTTTTCCTTCCATTTCTTCTCTTATATATATATATTAGAAATGATATAGACTCTTTTTTTTTTATCCCTACAATTCCTATAGACACATGTCAGTCAGAGATAGGAAAAAAAATAAAAAATAAAAAAATTAGTCAATCACAATGTATTGAGGGTGGTAGGGGTTCTCGGTCCCAAACTTTATATATATATATATATATATATTTTATCACCATACAAGCTACTATGGTTGCTCTTGTCCCTATCATCTGATTGTCATCAAGGAAGTTTTCAAATTTAGGCTTAGATTTGATTCATGACTGAGATCCGGTATTGTTAAATACATTTATATATGTTAGGCGATCAACTAGATTGTTTTATTTTGTAGGGTAAATTATACTAATAATTTCTATAGTTTGGAACTCATGTCACTTTGGTCTTTAACTTTTTAATTATAACACATTTGATCATGACTTTTGAATCTTGTTTCAAATAAGAACAATTAAAGATACTATTGTT